AGATGGTTGGGCTAGAAAGAGTTTGTAGTAGCGAATGTTCAGGAGTGGCCAGTTGAGTAAACTGTTTGCTTATAGCTGCCACTTTGTCAGTGAAGAATGAGGCAAAGGTGTCAGCTGATAGATTGTAGGTAGGAGGTGGAGATGGAGGGTTGAGCAGAGTTTTGAATGTCAAAAATTGTTTCTGAGAGTCAGTAGAGCTGACAATTGTGTCAGTGTAGAAAGCTTTTTTTTTGCATCAGTGATGCTGGCAGAGAATGAGGACAGTAATTCATGAAATTTCAATTGATCACCAGTATTTTTTGTTTCGCGCCGTTTTCGTTTCGCAGCTCTTAAGATTGGTGGGTAGAGACCGGAGGGTATCATTTAGCCAAGGGTGCGACTGAGAGGATCTAGCAGGTCTAGTGGCTAAACTTTTGACCACTTGTTCAGTGTGCAGTGGGGCATTGCAATGCCATTAGGCAAATTTCAGAGCTCCAGCTGACTCATAATGCAGACAAAGATTTTTAATTGTACCTGTTCGAATTTTCCCAAGGCAGACGTGTTGTCATGGTCTTGTAGTCAGGCGCAATTAACAACAGTGAACTTGATCAGAATGGGGTCAACTGAAGGCATACTATGAAAACAAAACCAAACCCTAGTTGTAAGAACGTATACAGCTGGTAAAACAAAATTGTATAAGTTCATTAAAACATTAACTTACTTGTAGGACTTATCAGCTGAACACACTAGTATGCTGCTGTGTTCAGTTAGAAAATCTGCAAAGCATTCCTGTAGGGTTGGGCAATAAGTCAAAAATGTATCATTATCGAAAATTCCGACTCGTATCAAGATAATTTTCCCCATGTCAATAAATGGTAAAAAAATGAAAAGATGTGTGTAGGTTGGAAACATTCATGTCCCTTTAAGAAGCTGTACCACCTCAAGTCACTAAAAATGAGACTCAACATAATACATGTGACAGCCCCATCTAGTGGACAACTTTTGTTTCTGCGCTTACCTGTAGTTATTGTCCATTTATCGTTATCGAGGTAAAATCCTATATTTATCGTGATATTAATTTTAGGACATATTGCCCAGCCCTACATTCCTGTGAATGATATTATTAAAACAGGGCATCTGTCTTTTTAAATGAGATCATCCTGATTCCCCCTAAAACACATATGGGTTTTATTTTTGGTTACTTCAGCAGCTCCCATTCAGACCGTAAATAAAATACAATAGTCTGAAGTTCAGAGACGGAACTAGGTTTATTCTGGCTTTTCACATTTCCTATTTTGATCACAAAGAGATACTTGTTTGTGCCTCTTGTCTGATGTATATATTGTTGTGGATTAACAGCAATTGTGGTTCTGTGGACTGCGGTTGCTGACAATCCTACATTGTGTGAACTAGCACTGATTAACAAAGGATCCATTGTGAAGAGCAATGGCCCAGGGGAAACGGACAGGGTCTAGGTTAGGTGACAGAGGTGTGGATTTGGGGGCCTGGGTCTGGGGGCTTGAACCATGATGGTAGGGGGCATGCTTCAGTGCTGGAGGTGAATAAGCGCAAGACCAGCTGTACTGTAGTACAAAACCAAATGCTGGACTCTTAACTCGGCTTCATATAAAACACTGAAATCCCAGTCAGATGTTGGCAGTTTATTAAGAAGTTAATTTTCTTCACAAACATTGTCAGTCTGATTTATTTTCTGTCTGATGGAGAATCCAGTGCAGTGATTAGGTAAAAGGAGGCTTAAGCTGCTTGCGTAACCGTTGTCAGAATTTGAAATATTTAGCTGTTTATCCTCTGCTGACTTCAGCTCAAGGACAGTCCACCATGTGCAGTGTACTCTAGATCTGTTTACACGGACAGATAGCTGGGCAGTTCAAAGTCACTTCCTACAAACCTCTTTCCCCCTCTCTCCTGTCTCTGTGTAATATTCACCATCAGCTCAAGACCTTTCACCTTTTCATTAACCTTTATCCATTTCTGAGAATTACAAAGCTACCAACTCAAGCTTCTACTGGTCTCTGTTCAGTTTGAGGCCTGGCATTTACCCCGTTGCTCAGTTGTCATAACCAGACTGTTACTTTTACCTTTATGATGGGTCACATTAAAGCTTTTGAAGCAGTGATTATCTTTTCTACTGAAAACTCAAAATATCCGCCAAGCAATAATATCCTTTTGACTTTTAGGCCCAAGCTAGTTAGACTAACCTGATTTTCCATGTTTGCTTTGGCAGATTGGACTCCACCTTTTGACATTGATCAGAGCTGTGAATGAAAGGGACTTTACAGTGAGAGAATCAGCCAGGCCCCTCATCTTCTTTCAGGATGCTATTAACTATTGACTTCTCTGTCCACACCAGAGGCCGTTTGTCAGTCTGAATTGCTCTGTTGCTGATATGATACAGTTATGCAACACAGGCAGATTTTTTAGGTGGATTTCAAATCCTTTTAATTTAGTTTCCAGCTCTGTATCTTAATGTATTTCAATTAGCTCAAGGCTGTAATTCATCATCTGTGGTCTGATACTTAAAGCACAGAGCCACTGTGGTGTTTTTGTGTCTAATGTTCTATCTGCATGTTTATTGCAGTGACAGCAGGACTTGTTCAAACAGCTACCCGTTCCCAGTGCCTTCTCTTAAACAGCCTTTTGCTTCATTGTGCTAAAATAAATCCTCCAGTCAGCATACGATTATCCAGCCTTCTCCCAGGGTTTGTTGAAGACATTTAGAGGTCAGGCAAAGTAAAAGTCACATTTCTGAATTGGCTTTTATACATGCAGTTTTTTAATTCAAAATTTTTCTTAAAAAAAATAAAATAAAATAAAATAAAGTATAATCTCAGTGAGTTTAAATTGTGTTTGATATAATGTTATAGGTCTTTAAGTCAAATCACAATTGACAGGTCTTAGTTACAAAGAATGGAAATCAGTATTTTCCTCAGATTTTGACAGATGTCTCATATCCTGTACTCACTTTTGTCCAGTGACCTTATTTCAACCATTCATGCTGTTCTTTTGGACAGCCATCGGTCTTGATTTGATGCTAATTATGTTTGTGCATTTGAAAATTGTAAACTACAATCTTCAACATTTCACAACATTTTATGAGGCTATTAATCTAATTTTAAAACAACACAAATCTGAGAGTGGAAAGTTTAAGATGGGAACAAGTTAATGATTTTGTCCTTCACAAGAAGGAAAACAAGCTTCTTGTTGGATGTCTTTTCACTGTAAATGAGCCGTACTTGCTCACAAAGCCACCGTGTATGTACTTAACCCTCTGTTCTAAACCTTTAGTCACTTTACACAAGGCTGCATTATTCTGGGAGTCTCTTTGTGTTTGCTTTGGTTAATGACATCCATGTCAGCATTCATATCCTAGTCTGAACCTCAGAGCTACAAATCAGACGGATTAAACTGAAAACGATTGTGAAAATATGAACTTCACCTGTTTGTAAATAGAACAGAAAGTTCCTGTTCTACTTGGATGTTTATACTCGGCAGTTAAAATAATATAAAAGCTTTCTGTTGTTAAGGAAATGCTGTAATCATTATTAGCGTTTTATGATAAGCTAAAGTAGTATGATTTACTTCAAATAAACGAAAGAAGGTAAATGGAAAGAAAGAAAAAAAAATACTCATTTGAAGTCAAACTGCTACATGACTGTCAGGATTTACTTCATGAAACACACTATACTATTTAGTGTAAGTGTGTGAGACTTTGGTTGGGTATAAATGTCATCATCAAAGAGTGTGTGAGCAGCTTTCCCGAAAGCAAACCTACTTGCTTGTTGTGACCATGAAGACGTGATTTCTTAGAGCGCGTGTGGTCTCCCTATAACGTGGGATTCTACATTAACTTATAGAAGCTTGCACATTTCTGTGGAGGTGGAAAGTTACAAGTGTTAGTCTCAACCACACAAAGCGGCATACTGAATGCAGTTAAAAGAATGAAGGTCTTTATAGAGGCAAAATATTCTCTAGGGTCCTGTCGGAGTAGGGTGGTAGAAGGTTTCAGAGACACTCACAACTCACAAGCTCAGATGACTGCCCGCTTCTTCTTTGTTCTTCAGTAGTTTGCAGCCCTTTATTCTTGCTTTTTCAACAAAACCTTCCTTTTTAGTGTTTCCAAGAAAACCAACATCTGAGTAAAATATATCACACATTCTAGATTACATTTCTGTTGTTTCAGACTGCAAAATCCATGAAGTTTGATTACCTAGCCTTGTTTGACATTGCATTTGCTGTCTCGTCATCATTGTGGCATGTTCTATGCAGTTTTATTTGTAATGATATAATGATAAATCACCCACACTTGTATAGCACCCGTCAGAGTCAGAGGACTCCAAAGTGCTTTACACTACAATGTATCATTCACCCATTCACACACACATCCACACACTGGTGTGTGTAGTCACAGCTGCCCTGGGGCACACTGACAGAGGAGAGGTTGCTGAGTACAGGCATCACCGTTCCCTCCACCCACCACCAGCAGGCAACGTGTCTTGCCCAAGGACACAACAGCAGCTCTCTCTGCATGGAGACGGGATTGATCCTACAACCCTCCGATTACTGAACGACTCGCTTTCCCTCCTGAGCTACTGCTGCCCCTACAGTGCATAAGTGTATGTGTCAAGGATAGAGTTGAGATTATGGCCCCAAACTTTACTTTCATAGTAGTTTTCCTGTCTATGTCTTTGTGCTTATAGTGCATCCTTTAAAATAATGCACAAATAATGTAGTTTATGTAGAAACTTTATTTTAGACATTGCAAAATTTTAACGTGAGCTCCAGCAGGAACATTTTGCCAGTGAACAGACTGTTACATCATTCTGTGTTGAGCTTGGCTCTGCTTTTGTGACGAGGCACACCATGTGGAGAGTCTCGAGGACCCGTCTGTTCACTTCTCAACTCAACACTTGTGTGTGTGTGTGTGTGTGTGTGTGTGTGTGTGTGTGTGTGTGTGTGTGTGTGTGTGTGTGTGTGTGTGTGTGTGTGTTGTGATCCTCCAGCCTAGCACTCTACCCCAGGGTACGATCAATATGAACCAGTGCTCGGATGTCATCGACGGCGAGTCCAGGACGGGTCAGAAGAATTCTCTGTGCATCCTCACACCTGATAAAGAGCATTTCATAAGGGCTGAGTGCAAAGAAATCATCAATGGGTAAGAGGTTGCCATGACAACTACTATGCACTGTTATTATTAAACTTGGAAATGCATTTTGCTAGTACATGTAGTATTTTAGATAAAAGTAAGCTGAAGCAGAAGTTGTGTTGAATCTGTCCTCCAGCCATGACGGTTCTGCCCCCTGCTGTAAGCTTTCAGCTGTGCGTTTCACTGAGTTGTAATTCACTTGGTGACAGTGCACATTCTTGAAGTTTCCTCTCCCTGCTGCTCTCTTTGTATTTATTATAAATCTTCAGACTTTTAGACACAGATCACAATACACAACCTCTAATCTTCATAGTCCAGTTTTCTCTGCTTGTCTGAGCTGCTTTCTCCCTCTGTGGCTGTAGCTTACATGTAATGGCTATTCTTGGAGAACAGTGACTCACAACACCCACTGTTCATTATGTTACCTGCTCCATCACCAAACACCTCCTACGCTCCTATCATCTGGCCTCCATGTGTTGCTTCAGACCGCCATACTTGTCCTCTAAAGGTTGTCATTACCTGAAGCAATAAAAAATATTTTGATGTTTCCGTGTTTGATTTTATGCGTTTCTTTTAAATGTCTATTAACCCATTATTGAATTATGAAAACCATGCAGTCCGAGCACATTTTCATTTTAAAATGCGTCACATGGCTGCATCTATGACAGCTTTGAGTGTGACTCTTTACACCAAAGACTCCGAGCTCTTTGCTGGGTGGGTGTGTCGAACAAAAGCATGTTTGATCAGTGCTTTGTTCCACAGTCACTTGTTTATTTTAGTGCTTTTGTCTACGAGTGTCTAAAAGAATTATTTAACGTTAGTAAGTAAATTCTTAGATAAGTATTCTTTTATGGTATTAACATTCAATATTTGTGCATTAACATTGTGCATTTTATCAGCAGGCATTTATGGTTTGATTTTAGTCTTTGGACAACCATGTGTATAAATCCATTCTGAGTACCAAGTTGGTTTTATTATTTTTGGGAGTTCAGATAACAGAGTCTACTTTGTAACACACAGGTGGCAGGAAGTTCTGTCTGTGTACCCCAGGACCAACAAGCAGAACCAGAAGAAAAAACGTAAAGTTGATCCTCCCTCTCACCAGGTAATTCACTCATCTTTTCCACAATGACATTTTATTTCTTCTCTCCCAAAACAAGGAAAAGTAATGAACAGCCAAACTTGGCTGAAGGCTCTGCTTATAGAGCTCTTTCTTTGTTTTAGGAAGATTTTCAGATTCTTTTTGTTCCACTCGGTAACCTTCGACAGAAACAACAGTTAACACAGCAGTGTGTGTTTGGACTAACACTGATTTTATATAGGTTCAAATAAATGTTTATTAGCATTTTTCTCAAATACATTTTCTTGTTCTGCATTTACGCTACAGACTGATCTTTATTGTAGACTTGATTTTGTTAAAAGTAATGCATTGAAACTTGCACCACAGAAGGGAACACTGGCCAACCAACTGGTTAATTCACCTGTTCCAGTCTCTAATCCCTTCATCATATTATGCTTCCATAAACCTTAATATTTGTCATCATCATCATCACTCGTTTAGTCTGTGTTTTGACTGCGTTTTCAAGTCTGGTGTCTGTGAACTTTTTTGAACTCTTAGCATAAACACCGTCCACCACGTTCCCTGTCCCACTCGTCTCTGTGACCTCATCCCACCTCATCTTTTGTTGTTCCTAATGACTAAAAAATACAGTGACACCTAATTTTGCTCAGACCAGTAAGTGACAGATGAGTACGAACTTTTGTAGCTCTTGCAAAAGCACTCATGCTCTGCTGAACCCCAGGACTTTGTTAAACTTGGGAAAGGTACAATTTGAATTCAAAGGCTACAAAGTTGTTAAATTCTTATGCAATTCTTATATAATTACACATTTTTAGAATAATAAATATATTTGGAATGGAATAGCAGCATGCAGAAAAATAAAAGCATATCTTAGGAAAAAAGTATAATGGATTTCATAAAGCCCTAGTATTGAATATCAACAAAACAAATATTTTCTGTACTTTGTTTTATCGTCATACTACCAACAGTTTTATCAACACTTATTTCCTGTACAGGTCCTTCTCAAAAAATGTGCACATTGTGATAAAGTTCATTATTGTCTGTAATGTACCGATAAACATTAGACTGTCATATATATTAGATTCATCACACACAACTGAAGTAGTTCAAGCCTTTTAATGTTTCTAATATTGATGATTTTGGCGTACAGCTCATGCAAACCCAAAATTCCTATCTCAAAAAATTAGCATTTTTCATCCGACCAATAAAATAAAAGTGTTTTTAATACAAAAAAGTCAACCTTCAAATAATTATGTTCAGTTATGCACTCAATACTTGGTCGAGAATCCTTTTGCAGAAATGACTGCTTCAATGCGGCGTGGCATGGAGGCAATCGGCCTGTGGCACTGCTCAGGTGTTATGGAGGCCCAGGATGATTCGATAGCGGCCTTAAGCTCATCCAGAGTGTTGGGTCTTGCGTCTGTCAACTTTTTCTTCACAATATCCCACAGATTCTCTATGGGGTTCAGGTCAGGAGAGTTGGCAGGTCAATTGAGCACAGTAATACCATGGTCAGTAAACATAGTGGTTTTGGCACTGTGAGCAGGTGCCAGGTCATGGTGAAAAATGAAATCTTCATCTCCATAAAGCTTTTCAGCAGATGGAAGCATGAAGTGCTCCAAAATCTCCTGATAGTTAGCTGCATTGACCCTGCCCTTGATAAAATACAGTGGACCAACACCAGCAGCTGACATGGCACCCCAGACCACCCAGACCATCACTGACTGTGGGTACTTGACACTGGACTTCAGACATTTTGGCATTTCCCTCTGTCCAGTCTTCCTCCAGACTCTGGCACCTTGATTTCCAAATGACATGCAAAATTAGCTTTCATCCAAAAAAAGTACTTTGGGCCTCTGAGCAAAAGTCCAGTGCTGCTTCTCTGTAGCCCAGGTCAGGCACTTCTGCTGCCGTTTCTGGTTCATAAGTGGCTTGACCTGGGGAATGTTAGCCTAGTGAACTAGACCAAATTCTTGCTTTGCAAAGTTTGGTCTAGGAATGCTCCACTGGAACCTCTGCAGCCCCAACAGCATTCTGGCTGGCCAATCACCGCTCTCTAGAGGGGTTTCAAACACATTAAGAGCTGTGATTGGTCCATAATGGTGGGCCAATCATAGTGCTCTATCTGCTTAGTGAACAAATCACAGAGCTTCATCCGCTTTGTGGACCAATCAGGGCACTCTATATGCCTGGTGAGTGGGATGATGCAACAGAGTGAAACAAGAGGATGTCACATTCCTTGTCCAGTAGCATGCGCATTGCCAGACTAAATAATACATTTATTTAGTCTGGCTTGCCAGGCTAGGGGAATGTGGCACCTGTAGCCCATTTCCTGCACACGCCTGTACACGATGGCTCTGGATGTTTCTACTCCAGACTCAGTCCACTGCTTCCGCAGGTCCCCCAAGGTCTGGAATCGGTATTTCTCCACAATCTTCCTCAGGGTCCGGTCACCTCTTCTCGTTGTGCAGCGTTTTCTGCCACACTTTTTCTTTCCACAGACTTTCCACTGAGGTGCCTTGATACAGCACTCTGGGAATGGCCTATTCGTTCAGAAATTTCTTTCTGTGTCTTACCCTCTTGCTTGAGGGTGTCAGTGATGGCCTTCTGGACAACAGTCAGGTCGGCAGTCTTACCCATGATTGCGGTTTTGAGTAATGAACCAGGCTGGGAGTTTTTAAAAGCCTCAGGAATCTTTTGCAGGTGTTTAGAGTTAATTAATTGATTCAGATGATTAGGTTAATAGCTCATTTAGAGAACCTTTTCATGATATGCACATTTTTTGAGATAGGAATTTTGGGTTTTCATGAGCTGTACGCCAACGTCATCAATATTAGAAACAATAAAAGGCTTGAACTACTTCAGTTGTGTGTAATGAATCTAATATATATGAAAGTCTAATGTTTATCTGTACATTACAGACAATATTGAACTTTATCACAATATGCTTATTTTTTGAGAAAGACCTGTATGTTTGTTAGGGTTTAGGCTATTTTCTGTTAAGGGTATTTTCTGACTGTTTGTTAGGGTTGGGGTTGTTTATTTATTTTTTATTTTTTATTTTTTTGCATGTTAGGGTTAGGGCTGCACAATATATCGTAATTATGTCATTTTCACGATATCAGCATGTGCAATATGCATATCGCAAAGAACAGGTAAATATCGCAATGAATGGTCAGCTCAAATGTTTGCTACACATAATGCATTCTGTCAATCAAACGGAAGCATGATGTTTTTTAACAAATCAAATAGAACTCTTCACCCATTGGGCCAAATGGGTGGGTTCTCATAGGTTAGATGCCCGTCCCCAAGGCGGACGGCACTTAATTTTGATGGTAAGCAAACACCTGAGTTAGCTTTGCTCTGCTCTTTTTGTTGATTCTGCTTTTCCCGGGATCCACTGATTGCCTTTTCTTTTTCTTTTTCTTTTTCCCTGTCCTCACATCTTTAGCTTTTCTCATTTTTAAGAATTTTTTATTTATTTTGTTTTTGATTACCTTTGTTCCTGAGTTTTTATTTATCGTAAGGAGTATTGTCATCGCAATATTAATCATTGTTATCGAATATCACAGGTTCTCCTAATATCGTGCAGCCCTAGTTAGGGTTATTTTCTGTATGTTGGGGAGCATGTAAGAACAGACTTTAAGATTTGGTCTCCAACATCAAATTATGCTTCTTATGAACTGACCCTGACAAGTAATTTGGGGGAAAACTGACAAATCTCCACACAAAAGTCAGCTTTTAGATTAACAATGCAAAATGGGGGTACATTTCTAACCTTAAAATATGTGTGCCAAAGAGAATTACATTACAGTAACATTCAACAGCCTGATACATGAGCAATGCATCATTCAGACACACAAACTACACAAGAGACAGAACTCTTAACTCACAAGCACCAAAGTTAGATTTCTCCCTTGTAAGGAATAAATTGAGACTCTATTACCATAAAAGTGGTTTAACTGCTAAATGTAGTCATATGATATAATATAATGCAGACCACCCACTGTAGGGAACACATTTCCCCTTCCCCTACCTCCTATTTGAGGCCAAGCCAAATTTCTGGTGAGCATACAGAACATTGTCTAAGGTTCGTTGTCTGGTTTCTCTAATGACGGCACCCTGAATAACACTGACCTTGGCTGGCTTGCACAAACAGGCTCATTTGTAAAGAAATAATAGTGACACAGTTTCAACCTTCACTGTGGGCCATTTGACCCCATTGTTCTTGTTTTTTGTTATTTTACACCCATAACTTCTTCCTGTGTATAGACGTGATGGACTATTCTGTGTTTGGTGTCAATTGTGTTTTTAATGATAGGTTATCATCTGAGTCGTGTCAGTTCCTGCCTCGTTTATCTCAATGGCAAATTTAAAAGACTCTTACAGTGAATTAGTAGCTAGATTAGCACACATTTAAAACTGTAATGGGGACATAAAAGGCCAGATCAGTGCTCTGAGAACTTGTTGGTCATTGTCCCAGCCAAAAGGCAGGGGAATGTTTTTGCCTGTGTGTGGGTGTGGGTGTTCATTTGTCTGTTGTGTTTGCAAAATATCTCAAGATGCCGAACAGGTTTTTAATGAAACTCTCAGAAAGTTAGCGTTGGATGTTCATGTTCAACTAATTAACTTTTGTCAGCCCCATTCAAAATGACTGCCACAGCTAATCAACATTAGAAAACACAAACATGGCTGTACCTCAGCTAACTTACATTTTTATCTGTAACTATTCATCTCTAGGGTAGACGTGCTGTTTGTTTTTTGAATTTGATCAATGATTTGGGCACACGGAGTAGTGACTTTTCAAAATTTACCAAAGCTGAAATAAGCTCACTGTATTTATGAGAAGACTATAATTTAGGTTGATATCATCTAGATCACAGGTGTCCAACAAATTTGGCCCGTGGTAAATCAGAGTGGAATAAACAAAGCTTGAGTAATTGTGCTTTTTATACACCTTTTTTGCTCCAAAGTATAACTGTTAATAGCTTACATTTGCAAGGAAATTATTTTATTTTTTATGATTTTCTTATTGACCTGTGAAAAAGGATTTAGCCTACAGTAAAACAGGAACTGGAAAGGCAAAAATCAGTTTGTTTCCAAATGAAAAGGTTCAACAATACATATCTGGAGATTTGTCGTCAATTTTTCAATAAATGTTGAGTTTGGCCTGCTACTTCGTCCCGGTGTTTTATTTTGGCCCAGTTCGAATTTTAGTTGACAGCCCAGATAAATGGCCTGCTGTATTTAATATAACGCCTTCTAGAATTCTACAGCCATCCAAGTCACTTACCCATGCACACACATGTTCACGTTTTGGTGGTGATGAGCTACATCTGAGCCACAGTGGCCCTGAGGCACACTGACAGCAGTGAGGCTGCTGCACCGATGCACCACCAGTCCCTCCGACATCACCAGCAGGCAAGGTGGGTGGATTGTCTTGCCCAAGAACACAACGTCTGTGACTAAGTGGGCCTCAAACCTGCCACTCTAAATTCGGGGTGGGCTGTTTTCTTGTTTTTGTGATGTAAATTACTGATGTACCACTAATGTGTTGTTCTGTACCTTTTCCTTGCTATCGGCACTACTTGAGAGCTCCCAGTTTTTATACTTTACCAAAGACATGTTGGCATCAGAGATTATGCTCCTCAATCTCAATACTTGATGTGACTTTGGAGAAAGAAAGAAAGTAAACTGGCCTCATACTTTAGTTATAAGACCTTAAATAGTATTTCATATATTCCTCTTCAACTTTTTATGGAGGGCAAAAATAAAGTCATGAAAGTGAGAATAATTGGCTGAATACATCGAGGCAGGGGTTTTATGTTTTTGTAATCAACATTTTTCAGCAAGCTCTAACATCAAAAGGCGTTTTGATTGGCAGAGTGGAGTAACGCCAAGCCAGTGTTTCTCTACCGAAGACATGAAAGGACACTCCGTGAGTTCAGCTCCTCCAGACTTTTCATCCCTTCAAAACAAACCGCTGCTTTGATCCTTTATTTCTTATTAGTAATAATAATTGTGCTCCCAATAAGGTGAAGGGTGGAACAAACAATATAAAGATTGCTTTCTTCTCTAGTATTGAATGAAGCATAATTATTACAAGATCATTGTGATTGCTGGGTAAAATGATTATTTTGGCTTCGCTTTGGTCTTATTGGTCTCTTGTTATCAACAGTTTCTTTCATCTAGGGTTTCTAAACAACTATAATTTTGTTTTATATTCAGATATTTGTTAAAGCCTTGTCCATTTAACATGTGGGCAAATTGTTTGCATTTTTTATTTCTCTATTTTTCCTGACAGTTACTGGTGCGTTGCCATGAATGAACTCGGGTTTTTGTCGAGGGGTTGATCTTAACCACCTTCCACAATTCCTCTTTCTGTCTAAAAAAATACATTGTTTATATATATATATATATATATATATATATATATATATATATATATATATATATATATATATTAGTTGACCTTGCTTTAAAAATGACTCCTTGTGTAAACTAAACTAAAATTCTTACACAGCAGTGAAAATGTTTAGAGGTGTGGTTTACTCGTTTAATAAAATATATTTGCAGATGTCTCTAGTGGGTCTGACTTGTATAATGATATACATGTTGGCAGGATTTGGAATCTCATTTCCTGATATTTGAGCATCTCACCTCTGATTGGATAACAGCAACACAGCTCTACCACTGACTTCATTTGCTCTCCAACATGGATGTTTTATCTCCACCAATAACACAAGCCTGGAGGAGTTCTGCTGTTTTGTGGAGTTGCTAATGATAAACATTAGCTTCTACTAACCAAGATGTTCTCTGCTGTTTCCTGTATGCTAGACCAACATTAGCCTTCCCCGTTGTGAGCCGGGATGGTGAATCCATGACTGTTCAGTGACAGTGTGATGCAGATCTGTCAGGCTTTCAGTGTTTCCCTGACATAGGAGATAGGTGTAGGGCTGTTTTCATGTTCAGCCTGCATGATAACCTCAGAGCGACCGATTATAATCAGAAATAATTATAAAATATTTTTTCAGTCAACCACACCTTTTAAAATGTTTTCATATTTACATTTAAACCAGGGGTAGGAATTTAATTTGTAAATTTTGATTAATTGATTGGAAAAAAAACATGTTAAAACTTTACCCTTTTGAGTCAGAGCACCCCCACATTTGTTGCCAGAAAGGTTTAGCATCGTAATCGATGCCCTGTATATATATCAATAAATACCATCAAGCTGCACATCTAACAAAACAGCAGAGTCTCGGCTACAACACCATATAAACTTTTTTTGTGTGCTCCAAACACAACTAAAACTTCTGTTTCATTGAATCATGGCAAATCACTCGTAAAAAAATTAAAGGAAGAAAAAAAATCTACTTTTAACCATTATGTTTCTTAGTTTGTAGAAAGCAGGCAGTACCTTTATCCATGGGAACTTAATTACAGCAGGAGGGACAAGCATACATGCAGCATTCATCTTGTAACCCTCAGCAGAACTTCCTCTGAACTCCACACTACACCTATATAGTGTGGGTATGTCATCAGGGCCTTACTAACATTATTTTTTTATTTTAAAATTTGCTTGCACGAAAATTGTCTTAAACTATTGAAATGAATTAAGATGAATTAATACAAAGCCTTTAATTAATTTGATTATATTTTTTATCAAGTCCCACCGTTAATTTAAACCTTTACTTACTTTCGGTATTTCCTTCCCACATTCCTTTTATAGTCTCTCTGGTTCCTTACCTCCCATTATGTCCTTCACCCTCCCCATCCACTCCTCCCTCTAATCATCACCCAGGAGCCGGGGCCAGCCAAGGTGACGGTGACCAGCAGCAGCAGTGGAGGCAGCATCCCCTGCCTTCAGAGCAGTATTGCCAGTGCTGAGCGGGTCCCAATGAGCCGTGCAACTCTGTGGCAGGAGGAGAGCTGCTGGAGGAGGACAACCATCCCCTGCAGCCGCAGTGCCTCCTGTCTCAGCCAACTGAGCCAGAGCCAGACAGACTCCAGTGTTACCAGTCACGATGGTGAGAAATACAGTTGGTTTTTGGTAAAGGTTTAAAGAAACTTCATTTGTGAGCTTTTTTCTAGACAGAATGATTCATATCAGTGCTGCTATGACTATATTTCAGACAGCAGCACTGTGAGCACTGGTCGAAAGGTACGAGTGGAGAGTGGTTACTTTTCGCTGGAGAAGACCAAGTCAGAACCATCTCCACAATCTGTACATCACTCCCAGCCACCCCAGAGTCTGCCCTTGTCCTCTTCAGCATCCGCCTCTTCTTTAGGAGCTCATAGTTCCAGGTACAACTCAGAAATCAACCCTCATCAACCTCCCCAAGATCCTTTTCCCTCTCCAAATGCACTTGTATCCCCGAGCTACTCCACCCTCAGCTCCTCTCAGAGCTCGCTGGACTCTGAACCCAGCAGAGCTACTCTCACCTGGGAGGGGCACAGTGGTGAAGGGAGTACTCGTAGTGTCACTAGTGGAGGAAGCAGAGCGGGACGCTCCGGCAGGGAGTACTCAGCACTGTCAGATGTGCCTCGGGCTCGCATTCTGAGTTACCACGAGGCCTTCCGCTCAGAGAAAAAGCGCCAGGAGCTGAGGGCACGGACGAGAAGTCCAGGGAGGGAGGAGGTGGCTCGCCTGTTTGGGGAACCACGCAGGTAAGAACGAGTAACATCAACTCTTTTCTACATTTTCAGTCTGATAAATCACTGCTGAACTCGCATCTTTACAGAAATGTTAGCTTTGTGTGTGATTATAATTACTGAGCTGCTAGTTTTTACCATTCTGCCAATCTGTGAATCATTAGATGGTACACTGATAATAATTATGTCTAGCTCATGCATTGCTTGAAACATTCACTTAGTTATTTAGCACCACCTTGTGGCCACTGTCTCTAAGTCACTCCTGTCTTGAGCATCTTTTGCTACTGCTTCCTGTCCTAGTTTAGACATTTGATGTAAATAATTTGGGGGAAGTGGGTTTAGTGTGTTTTATATTCTAGGGCTTTTTGCCTTGTGCTATTGCTGCTTTGCTACTTTCTTTTATTGTTTCAATCTTTTCCAGGGGCTTCTGAACAGAGCTTCTCAGAGCTAACGCTCAGCCAACCCCTCCACCCCTGTTCCAAAGCTGTTCCCTGCTGGTCATCGCTGACTCCTGCTTTCTGTCATTTCATCTCTGCACCACCTGGGAGCACAAATGCACTGATTCAGAATGAAATTATATTTAAATTATTTAGTAAGAATATTTGGGATTACAAATGGTTGATTGTACATGGACTTTCATCTCTTTGACCTAAGTTATTCATTTTCTAACTTATACACTTGAGCAAGTGCAGTGCCTTAAGGTAATGTCGACTCTTGCTGTGTCTGCAGTGTATTTAATCCTCCGTTTTAGTCATTTAACTTTCAGCCAGTGTTTCCTCTCATTCTATCATCCTTGATTAATCAGTTTATCACTGCTGTTCTCTTTGGGCTCTTCCCTTCTTCTCTGTCTCATGTTTTCACTTTGCGAAGGCCTAGAGGATTGTGTAAAACTTCTGCTCTTAGTAAGCTGAACCCTCTCTCACCTGTTGAGACTGAATTTGGACATAAATCATCTTTTGTCATGCACGTACTGGTCTGTACTACCTCATTCTGCCAACATTTGAGTGTTGTTTTGCATCTTTGTGTAATCTTTAGGAATACCTGACGTTTTTCTTTTTTGTTTGTTTCAGTCAATGTGTCTTTAAAATCGATATTTTTGTGTTCTTTAGGCGATCTCAAATCATAGGTCGGTTTGAAGATGGTCAGAAGACCGAGCATATGGAAACCAGCAGCTCTCTGGATCCTGATGTCAACTCTACAGGGATTCAAAGACAGGGCCGGAGCGAGCGACGCTACCTAGAAAGCAAACACGTGCGTTGTTCCTAATGACATGATATCCATTGACTGGGTTTTATCTAAACTAATGATCTTTTTTTAATTATAGGAGATGTCACTGGATACAGGAAGGGACTACTTAGCCTCTGATGTTTCCAACTCCAATTTCAACAATTTAAGAAGAGCCAAGTCACTGGATCGCAGAGTCACAGAGTCGTCCATGACTGTGAGTGTGAAGAACACAATCTCACCTGCATTCAACAGAGCATCAGGCTACGGCACTTGGTGGAGACGGAGGCCATTTGCAGAGATTTTTATATAAACACCATCTATTTATTTCTTCCTTTCTCAAAAGGACTTCAGAAGCCTGACAAAAATCTTTATAAGTGATTTTTTTAAACCATGTAGTCTCCAGAGTCATTAGTTAAAAATTTTCTCAACCTTTGAAAAATGACAGCTGCTCTGCTTGATGCAAGCTTGTAACACTATTTGAAAAACAACAACCTATTTTTCTGTAGTAAGCTGGGACTCTGTTTAGCTACAAGTCAGCTAAGTTGGTTTCACACACCAGACTGCAACTTTAGTAGCTGATCCATTTGTTGCATGTGGGAACGTGTCTCCATCAGATGGAGGGGGATTTCACTGCATCATCTACCAAGCAAAGCAGTCTAAAAGTGGATTGATCCTTTCCTCTAGAGTTGACGGCTAGCAAATGGTTATGGTAAATGTTGCTGCAGCAGTTTTCTGTTGTAGGGTTAGGTAATATATATTAACTCTACTTGTGACCATGTGATACTCTATCTAAATATAGAATATCACCCTGCCTGGTCTTTATTGTGTTTAATCAGAAGATGCTAGGATTCTTTATTTATTAGGGGATTGTACACACGTTGTTTTGATTCAGAAAACATTCAGGTTTACAAAAGTAAGAATTTATTTTACAAACCATTAAAACTTGACAAATTGGTTAACTATTATTTACTGTGAGTGGATGGAACTAAAGGTGATGTCTGGAACCTATGTGTGAATGCGATGTTGGTCAGAACTTCCGTATCTTGGAGAGCTGCATTCTGGATGTAAAAGAGTTTGGTTTGTGTTGAGCTATGAGGTTGATTGTTATCAAAAACCCACATCAGACGCTATCTGTGTGTCTACATTACCCGTTTTCAGAGACCCTCTTGGTGGATCCAAAAGTCAGAGAGGTCGGATGACCGCTGGCACCGGAGGGCTGTAGAATACCGTGGTACCGATCCTTTCAGTCCATAGATGTCTCGGGTCACGACAGACGGATGGAACCGAGCGTCTGGGACTTTTAAGGAGTCTAAACAATATCAGCTTGTTCTGCAGGAACTATTTTGTTGTATCAGCTTTGCAGGTGCGAAAAGATTTTGACGACGTGTCAAAATCTTTGGTGGGTTAAAGAGGTGTACTTCAGGTGGCCGGTCTGAAGCTCCTCTAGAACTAAAGAATCACCAGCGTGATCTGGTTTTAATGTTCTCATGTTATGATTGTGTAGCCAACCAAAGGTTGACAAGTTTGGATGTTACCAAGAATCTCAGAAACACACGCCTTCTTTGATCCGGAGGCTCTGATCTGGGTAAAGGGTTAATTATGTGTCATGGACTTAACTTTACCTTACTTTGTACTTGTGTGAGGGCAAATGTTATGACCTTGTCAAGTAAACATGCTGAAACAATCATTGAGCACAGATTAATGAAACATTTCATTATTTATAATTATTATACGTAGCAATAAACAAACGTTTATTTAATGATTATCTGGCTGAAGTTTTAGAAGTTCATATTTAATTTTAAAATCTTCTTTCTTCTTTGAAGCGAGGAGTTTAGATAAAAGGTTGCTCTGTGAGGGACCTTGGAAAGAACAGGATGTCAACAAGCAGTTCAGGATCTTGTGGCTTGCTGGCAGCTAGAATATAAAATCCACCTGACTGAATTAGGTCTGTAGATGACCGATGACCTGTAGGTCATCTGTAGGTGAAAACTAACCATTTGTGGACATTACACTGTTTTACTTCTTTGTATTTACAATCCATCTTTTTTTGACAGTCAAGAAATAATGAAGCACTTTTACTATTTTTGTTAACCCAGTCATCTGTACAGATGAATTAGTAATCTATAATTTCATTCTTGCATGTTGTAAATACAAAACAACTTCCCATTTCTATGGTGGTTCTTGTGTCCAGCTGTCAGTGTGGTGTTTAACATCATCTCAGATAGTCGGTGTGGTGCATTTTACAGGGAACTGTATGTAGAATAAAGTAATAACAGTAATGTTGGATTTAAATTATATGTAAATGACTCAATGAAAGAATGAATGTTTTATTTAGGTGTCATGGACAACACGTGCCCAGCCTATGTGGGCTTATAAGACACTATTTAACAAACCATACATTTACAAAAACATTATTTTACATAGTATGATAAAGAACTATTAGACTACGTTCCCATACTCTCTATATGCATTTTGCTAACATAAAACTTTCATTGTCAAATAGCCCACTCAAAATTTCACCAACAATAACCAAAACAAAACAAAAGGCTCCGTCACTAAATAACTTTTCAGCTGAATGTATCTGGTTAGTTTTGGCTTTTTGTGCACATCAGAAATAATTTTAGTTTGAGTTGACAATTTGAGTTCACACTCATTTTCCCAATTGGAATACTTATTCTTTTATTTTTATTATTATTATTTTTTGCAAGCAGGATTTGCAGTCCGTGTCCTTGAAGCTGATTGAGGCTGCTTTGGTATCTTTTGAGGTCTGACTCCTGCTAGTCTGCTCTGTGGTCTGCAGCAGGGTAATCCAGTCGGTGTGTGGCTGGCCTGTCTGTCCAAGCTGCAGCTGCCAAACCCCCACCCACTCAGACACCAACATGCACACGTCTACACACACCACTGCCGCCACAGCTTCTGATGATTATAAATAACCCGCACAGGAGCAACCAGAGTTAAGCGCGTATCCCAAGGATAGACGGAACAAACCGGATTGTCAACACATGAATTAAAGGCAGTTAGAAATCAGAATGACTCTCTGCGAGACGGTGACACAGCACCGGATGAAGCTCGGCAAAAACAAGGTAATGTTGAGTGATCAGAAGCCAGTTTTTAGATGAACGCTTTACTGTGGAGTCTATAAACAGACTGGTTTCAATGTACAGCAGTTTGTGTTTCACAGGGAGAGTCTAGCTCCCGCCAGTCCGTCTCTGTGGCCAAAACATCTAATCTTTAGCTTTGCTCTCTTGCAAATAAACAAATGCACATAAATGCAGTCTTTGGTGAGATGTCATAGACTTTCTGATTGCATCAGATCATAAGAAATGCACCCTGTGATGGCTTCAACAAAATCAAAGAAATAACTCAACACCATGTGTTTGCTTTTGTCCCTTTGTGTTTTAATTCCAGCCAGATCTGCTGAACTTCAAGAAAGGATGGATGACAAAGCTTTATGATGATGAAATGGTAATTAATTGAATTGCTGTCTGCTACTGCTGCATATTACATGAATGAATTCAGTTTAATTATTAACCTTTTTACACTCTCAGTGGAAGAAACACTGGTTTGTTCTGACAGACCAGAGTTTGAGGTATTACAAAGACTCAATAGCTGAGGAGGTAAGGCCTTTCAGTCTGATACTTCATTTAAATCACTTGAAAGTCATAAAGAAATTAATATTTGCCTTTTTTTTATTATTGTGTCAGGCCTCACAACTGGATGGTGAGATTGATCTTTCCACATGTTATGATGTCAAAGAGATTCCAGTTCAGAGGAATTATGGTTTCCAAATCCTTGTGAGTGTTGATTTGTTTTCGTTTATGGTTCCGTCTTTTATCACCAGTCAATGTGAGACTTACTCACATTTTCTGACTTCTTTCTGCTTATAAACAGCCTTAAACAACATGTGATGCAACTTTAAGTATCAGTTGTTGTTTCTTTGTCCAAAATAAGATGTCATTTGACTTGCCATCCTTCTGAGAGACTGACATCATACTGGTCTAAATCTGCTCCAGCTGTTGCCAGTCCCTCTTGTCCTACTGAACCAGCGTGTCCTTCATCCTGCACGATGCATTTACCTTACCCCTCATATTAAAACCTGCCCTTTGTCTAAAGTTTCACCCTGAGACTCAGATGTAAACACAAGGGTTTGTCATAAGTGTGTGTGAATATTTTAGCCCAACATTTCAATCCTGTTGGACGGAAACAATGACTAGTGGCTGCAGGGTCCTTTCATTTGTTTACATTACTTCCACTGCTATCATCAGAAGGATGTCAGAAATAGTGGTGAAAAGGATAGTTGTTGCTTTGGCTAAGAACAACATGTGCTTGGTGTCCAAATGAATAACTTGTATTTATATCTGTGCACCCCTCTCAGGCTGGACTGGGCTCCTTTCATTAGACTGGTTTTAAACCCTTGACTCCTGTGTTGAAACAATAATTTTTATGCATTTTTTGCAGGATTCTCTGTTCTCTTGGGTTGTGATTTGAGTCAGTTGGATTAACAGGAAAAGCAGTAAGATACCTGCACTGTAGCTTGGTGTAGAAATTATTTCTAAAACCATTTACATCTATTATAATATGCTCTCTCTCTTTCTTTGCATATTCAAATCACAATTGTCTATTTTGATTGTTTTAAACGCGTTTTTGGTCATTTTTTGAAATCTTTTTTTATATTTTAAGTTTTTTGTTTTTGCGAAGCGCCTCGTGATTTTTATCTTGAGAGGCGCTATAGAAAAAATGGTTTTCTTTCTTTCTTTCTATACAATAAGATAAATATTTTTAAGGGTGAGGTTTTTAGGAATGTAAAGGGATACATTTACATCTGCAGCAGTCTTACATTTACACTGAGTCCATCTAAATGATGCTACAGACTGGAGCAGTTGCATCCACAGACAACCCCCACATCAGTGTTGGGATGTTCTGGTGCTCGGTGTATGTGGGTTAAAGACATGATATCTGTTTAATATTAGGTGCTTCACCATTCAAAGGAAGCTGGTTTTGGTGTCAATGTTCTAGCAATTTAAACAAATAAATGTTTAATAATGAAAAACAGAAAAAACTGTTACAAAATGAAATCTTGGGTCCTGTCAATGTTACTTTAATGAGCCTGTCAGTCATTTAAAAGAAATCTGTCTGATGGTTTCAGTGTAAAGATGGAGCATGCACCCTGTCAGCCATGACCTCTGGAATCCGTCGCAACTGGATTCAGGCCATCATGAAGAATGTGCGACCCACTGTTGCCCCCGATGTCACCCGGTAACGCTCAGCCACGATTAACACCAACCACTGGCACATATACCAGATGCTTTTCTCACTTTATCTGAATTCTTGTCTCCTCTTCCTCACCCTCTCCTTCCTCCTTCCTTCTCCCCATCAACTGGTATTTTCAACCTGCTTCCAGGAAAAACATCTCTCTGAAACTGTCTGTTCTGAAGCCCAGGTTGGAGTGCTTGTGTGTTAAAATTCTCACCCTCCTCAAACAGTGATGTAATTGCTCAGCCTCGGCGTATTTGTCATCCAGCCATATGTCGTGTGATTGAGTAATGTGTCCCTGTCTGTTATATCACTGTAGAGGCACGTGCCAGCATCTAGAATATTCTGTCCAACGCCCGCCACTGATGCTAATCATCTTCGTAATGTGGCTGTCAACTCTGGAAGCTCTGGAAATGTTTACAGAACAGCTAAACAATCTTAGCTTGACTAACAGAATTTGTTCTCTAGAGGAAACAGTTGGGCTCGAATGTTTGTTTTGTCATGTGCTTTATTCGTTTTTCATGTTTTAATTTGAAATCCTAGAATTGCTTTTCAGAAGGCACATTACAAATGATCACATTTCCACACCCGAATTATTGATTCTCTCTCTCTTGTCAGTTTGTCACTAAGGCAGCTCTATTCGAGGTATTGCTGCAGACACCTGATACCCGTCTTCCCCCTTTCACTCTTCAGCACTGACCTTACTCCTTCTCACCTGTGTCACTGCTTATCACACCTTCACACAATGTGCACATGGATTATTCCATCCTTCCGTTGCACTCCAACACTACGAGCGTCAGAACACATCAGTAAGCAGATTACTGTAAACCAGTGGTTCTTAACCTTGTTGGAGGCACCGAACCCCACCAGTTTCATATGCTCATTCACCGAACCCTTCTTTAGTAAAAAATAAAATATGATTTTTTTTACTGGTTTACGAAATGAATTGTGCATTAATATCACCTTGTTCAAATAACAAAACCAACACAGTGCATGAACTCAAAACAACTTACCTCAGTGTGACTTCTGCTGTTGCCTTTGAGAGACCAGTTCAGATATGCGTGGCTTCACCTTGGAAAGTGCCAGTCTCATGTCATTTTCACAGCAAAGTCTGTTCCTTTTCTTAGTTTTTATGTCCAGCATCCTCGAAAACGATTGCTCGCAAAGATATGTTGTAACAAATGGTACAAAAAAATCCAGGGCCTTCTTAGCAATAACTGGATACTTTTCCATTTGTTGACACCAAAACGTTGAGAGCGTTGTTGTTCCGAAGAGTTGCTGTTGAACCTGGCTCTGCTGAAGTTCAATGATTTCGTCGAGGTATTCATCATTGACATCTGCTGTCTCAATAGCAAACATGAACGGCTGTCTCACCCATGCTGGATATGATGCTCTTGTTGGGAAGTATCCATCGAGAGACTTTGCAAGCTCATCTAAGTGTGTGGCAATTGTTTGCTTCAGTTCCATGGGTACAGATATGTCTCCAAGTCCACACACATCTTCGATCTTACTTACACAGTCGTCCAGAAGGGGGAAGTTTGCGAAGTTGTTGTTCTCTGCTCGTCGTTTCCATAACGGTAACTTTTTTTGAAAAGCCTTCAGGTTTTCTTCTGCTTCCATTATGTTAACTCCACCACCCTGCATCTGCTGATTTAGATGATTGAGAGCTGCGAATATATCAGCCATGTATGCTAAAATGAGAATGAACTCAGAATCTTTGAAGCAATCTGCATGACAATGTTGGTGCTCTTGCAAAAACTGGGCTAATTCCACACGCATGGCAAAAACACGATTCAGCACCTGTCCCCGGGATAACCACCGAACATTCGAATGGTAAAGAAGTACCTCGAATTCAGAGCCCATTTCTTTACACAGCTCACTGAAGATGCTGTGCCTCAGAGCACTATTGCGCACATAGTTCACACATTCCACTACAATTTTTAATACTTCTGCCATTTTGGGCGGCAAGGTTTTTGTTGCCAACGCATGCCTGTGCAGAATGCAATGTGTAACAATGATGTGCGGTGTGTCGGCTTTTACTAGCGCGCCAAAACCAGACTGTCTTCCCAGCATCACTGGAGCTCCGTCCGTACAAACTGCAGAAACCATATCCCATGAAAGGTTGTTGTCTCTGAAGAAGTCATCCACAAGCTTCTTCACATCAGCTGCCTTAGTTGTTGTTGTAAGAGGCTTACAAAATAAAAACTCTTCTTTTATCATGTCGTCTTTCACATAGCGCACAAAAACGGCAAGCTGGCTTAGATTGGAAACGTCGGTGGTCTCGTCGAGTTGAAGGCTGAATTTTGCCGGGCTTGAAATCAGATCCGCGACTACTTGAGCCAAGATGTCTTTACTCATGCACTCTATTCTGTCGCTGATGGTGTCATTTGAAAGAGGAATTTGGGATAATTTACCTTCAGCCGCTGTTCCGAGTATCAGATTCGCCATCTTTAACGCAGCTGGTTTTACGAGTGTTTCGCCAATGGTGTGCGGTTTGCCCTGCTTTGCGATCAGATAAGCAACTTCATACGATGCTGTGAGGATCGGTTTGTTGATGGGTACGAATCCAAGAGCAGGCAGAGTGGCCTTTTCGTCGAATCTGGCTCTCTTCACCTTGAATTCAGCAAGCGTTGTGTTCTTGTATTCCCCATCTCCATGCAGCTTCAAGAAGTGTTCCTTCAGTTTTGCAGGTGCGAGACTAGAGTTGCTCAACTTGGCATTGCAAATCATGCAGATGGGACGCTGACTCCCGTCACGTTCCGTGATACATGTAAATCCATGTTTTACATATTCGTCCGACCACTTTCTTTTTTTGCCCGACATAGTTAGCATGGATTAAAATATTCCGTAAGAAATCACACGACAAACCGACAGTCACACGTTTTGGCGGTTGGAGGTGGACGTGGGGTCGGCGTCACGCTAACCCAACGTCACTGACGCACACCGCTGGTCCCGACTGAGAAGGAGGTCTCACTCTGCTGCTTATCCAGCGCTCTCAAAGTGGACCTGTAGGGAGTCTCACTCAGACACATATACAGCCCATATACAGAGGTCGCACTCTGCTGCATAAACCAGCGACCTCAAAGCGGACCGGTAGGAAATCTCCGAGCAGGACGCATTCAATGACTGTGCCCACTAACTGCAGACTAGACTGAGGGGTGGACCTCTGCGGCAGAGGCTCCACCGAACCCCTGAGACCGACTCACCGAACCCCTAGGGTTCGATCGAACCCAGGTTAAGAACCACTGCTGTAAACGAAGTATTTTGTTAAAAAGTGCTCTCACATAAAAGCTAAAACCTGCGGGGAAGCGTATCTCTGATCCTAAAAGCTGCTTACAGTCTCACTGTCTGCCCTGTGAATGTTTAAGCTTTAATGCTTTGACTAGTTTATTACTGTATGTTTTTTGTTTTTTATCAGGGTATCTGCAGGTCACAGAATCTCCAAATTTCTATTTTTTATTATATGGATGTCTGTAAACATGTACAGGTCCTTCTCAAAAAATTTTCACATTGTGATAAAGTTCATTATTGTCTGTAATGTACTGGTAAACATTAGACTTTCATATATATTAGATTCATCACACACAACTGAAGTAGTTCAAGCTTTTTAATGTTTCTAATATTGATGATTTTGGCATACAGCTCATGAAAACCCAAAATTCCTATCTCAAAAAATTAGCATATTTCATCCGACCAATAAAATAAAAGTGTTTTTAATACAAAAAAGTCAACCTTCAAATAATTATGTTCAGTTATGCACTCAATACTTGGTCGGGAATCCTTTTGCAGAAATGACTGCTTCAATGCGGCGTGGCATGGAGGCAATCGGCCTGTGGCACTGCTCAGGTGTTATGGAGGCCCAGGATGCTTCGATAGCGGCCTTAAGCTCATCCAGAGTGTTGGGTCTTGCGTCTGTCAACTTTTTCTTCACAATATCCCACAGATTCTCTATGGGGTTCAGGTCAGGAGAGTTGGCAGGTCAATGAGCACAGTAATACCATGGTCAGTAAACATAGTGGTTTTGGCACTGTGAGCAGGTGCCAGGTCGTGGTGAAAAATGAAACCTTCATCTCCATAAAGCTTTTCAGCAGATGGAAGCATGAAGTGCTCCAAAATCTCCTGATAGCTAGCTGCATTGACCCTGCCCTTGATAAAATACAGTGGACCAACACCAGCAGCTGACATGGCACCCCAGACCACCCAGACCATCACTGACTGTGGGGACTTGACACTGAACTTCAGACATTGTGGCGTTTCCCTCTGCCCAGTCTTCCTCCAGACTCTGGCACCTTGATTTCCAAATGACATGCAAAATTTGCTTTCATCCGAAAAAGTACTTTGGACCACTGAGCAACGGTCCAGTGCTGCTTCTCTGTAGCCCAGGTCAGGCGCTTCTGCTGCTGTTTCTGGTTCAAAAGTGGCTTGACCTGAGGAATGCGGCACCTGTAGCCATTTCCTGCACACGCCTGTACACGTTGGCTCTGGATGTTTCTACTCCAGGTTCAGTCCACTGCTTCCGCAGGTCCCCCAAGGTCTGGAATCGGTCCTTCTCCACAACCTTCCTCAGGGTCCGGTCACCTCTTCTCGTTGTGCGGTGTTTTCTGCCACACTTTTTCCTTCCCACAGACTTCCCACTGAGGTGCCTTGATACAGCACTCTGGGAATGGCCTATTCGTCCAGAAATTTCTTTCTGTGTCTTACCCTCCTGCTCGAGGGTGTCAATGATGGCCTTCTGGACAGCAGTCAGGTCGGCAGTCTTGCCCATGATTGCGGTTTTGAGTAATGAACCAGGCTGGGAGTTTTTAAAAGCCTCAGGAATCTTTTGCAGGTGTTTAGAGTTAATTAGTTGATTCAGATGATTAGGTTAATAGCTTGTTTAGAGAATCTTTTCATAATATGCAAAATGTTTTAGATAGGAATTTTGGGTTTTCATGAGCTGTACGCCAACATCATCAATATTAAAACAATAAAAGGCTTGAACTACTTCTGTTGTGTGTAAGGGTTAGGGTTAGCTCAAGTGAAAAATCCGTTTCAAATCAAGCCAATATCTAACAGCAAACGGCGTAATGAGAAGAGGTTAGAACTTTCTAGAAATGCATGCAAGGTCTTTCAGATTCCTTATAAGTCAAAGGACTCTGCACTCATGGAACTGAGATTCTGATTGTGTCCAAATAACACGTGTGCAGCAAATTTCAAAGTACTCACCAAGTTGTCGCAGGCATCTGGAATCCTGTCCTGTATGGTTGCTACATTATTTTGAAATTTCAGGCAAGGCTTTTCCAAGAAACATTCAGTGTTATTGCAGGAGCTCGTTGTTCCTTCAGAGTGAAGGCGATAAAAACTGCTGCCACCTAGCAGTTGGAGTCTCAGTTGCACCACGCAAAATAAATACCGTAAATATTTGCATTGAAATTATCAACAGAAAATTGCTACTCTGCTTTTAAATACTGGTTCAGTATCATAACACGAAATATTTCTGTGCATCGATATACCCTTACATCCTAGAAGTAACTGATGATGTAAAACTGGATTGAGTGATGAGATCTAAACCATTTTTCTAAGTGACCCTGCAGAAACCCTGTTCTGTTCACTACCAGAAATGCTCATGCATATTGGTTTTTGTCTCCTTAATTCAATTCAAAACTACTTCAGTAATCCCAGAGGAAAACTGATTAAACACTTTATTTTAAGAATCTGAGCTAAGTGTAGAGTTGTCAGCTCCTAAGTCTGCCTGCAGCATAGTATTACTCACTTTTATTACTTACTTGTTTGTGTTGTGTTTTTATTCAGATCTAGTCCTGATGAAAAGATCAAAGGCCATGTGGTGTTGGAACCATGTCCTCAGACCACTCCAGACCTTAGCCCACGTGTTGGTGATTGTAAGTCTGATGACCCCAATCAGTCACCAGACAGCAGTTCCTCCACTCCTTCGTCTGAGCCACGTAAAAAGGGAGTCCGTGAGCGCAGGCGAGAGGGCCGCTCAAAAACCTTTGACTGGTCTGAATTTAAAATGGAACAGATGGAAAAGCCTACTAAAGAGCGAGCGCACACCATCGACCTCAGTTCATCACTTTCTACAGCTTCTTCCTGCTGTTCGTCATCTCTTTCGTCTCCTGTGTATTCTTCCTCTCTGCAAACCTCATCTCTACCAGGTCCTCACCCACCTACTGTGACACCTACTGTGAAAGAAGATGCTGAAAGGGAGAGTGCTAAAAGAGGGAGCCCCCTGCACAGCACAACCAGCCCAAGTCACATGCCAAATGTAGTTTTGTCTAGTTCAACACTCAACACCACATCACCTGAAAACCAAGAGCAGGGAAAGATGGAAGTAGACCACCCTACAGCTGTTTGTCTAAAGAGTGAAGACACAACAGACGGCACAGCCTCACATGTCCAAGATGAAATTGAACAACGATGGCATCAGGTGGAGACAACACCATTAAGGGAAGAGAAGCAAGTGCCAATTGTCACGACTGTAGGAAACCCTGACCGATTACCAGCGCATGAGCTTGCTGAGCTGCTAGACAAAGAGGTGTGTTTACACTATATGGTCCTAAACATTGTCATATCGGTGACATCCACTGTACTAGGTTTTTATTTTCTTTTGGGTAAGGAAAATTATTATTTTATTCATTATGGTCCAGATAATCTCCTTACTGTTTTAAAGATATGGTGCAACTATAAGATGAAAAGACAAAAAAAAAAAAAGCTTTTCAATGCATTTAATTTTCCTTAACTCATTCACTGCCAGCTGTTATCTGAACAGAAAGCCACTGACTGCCAGAGGTTTTGAGCATTTTTACTGTTTTTTGAAGTCACAGAATATTGTGCTCTATGACCATGTAAACACCAAAACTACCAAAAGTAAGAGTAGACTCACTTCATACATTAGGAATGATCAGCGTATGTCTAGCTTTTTCCGTTCTGGCATAGTCTGCCTTTCCGGTTTGCGCCTCACTTTTTTCACAGCGGCGTTCCAAAACGATCTCCTAATTCATGGATTGTCTGCTTCCAGGTCACGTGACGTGTGACGCACACGGATGAAGATCAGCTTTAGAGCTATGATGTTTACTCTCATTGTGCGCGAGCTCATTCCCGAGCCCGCCCCGTTAAAAAACGCAACTGACTACTTAAGTCGCCAATGACAGTGAGCGATTAGATTAAAAATGACGACTTTAGTCATCAGTGGCAGTGAATGAGTTCAAAAGAAACCTTTCATCAGGCTACCTCTTGAAGTTGTAGAGCTATATTTAAACAAAATAAGTTCCTGGAAAAACTGATCTGTCATGATTCCTTCTTGTTAATTGCATCATTTCCTTTGACATGTCATGGGCCATTGTCTTAAATTAGCCTTAACCAGCTGAACCAGATTTGTAAATTTGACTGCAGATAAGAATCAGGTTTTATTTAATTCTCTTGTAGAAAGGTCATTAAAATGACGGTTATAGATGTTATGTGACTCAAGGATCACTTGATTTAACATCTTCACCAACTCAGTGGCCTAGTGGTATGAGTGCCTGCCCTGGGACTGGGAGATTGAGCTTGACTCTCAGCATTAAGGGGTTTGTTTGGGGGGGTTAAACCACCAATGGTTCTTGAGTGCGGTCGTGTCTGCAGCTCACCGCTCCCCACGGGAATGGGTCATATGCAGAGGACCAAATTCACCACACAGCAGTGTGTGTGTGTGACGACTTTGGACGTAGTTTTGTGGGGTGGGGTGGGGGGGGGGGGTGGGGGGGGGGGGGGGGTTACACACACACACACATACACACACACACACTTTTTCCAAAGTCAGTTTTTGTCCCCTGCACTTTTTACTGTCCTAAAACAATGTTCTGCTATATTAAACAGACTCTGGTTGAGCACTAGGACCAAGTGGAAAACAACTGCTTGTGTTGAAGCCTGTCTCCCATTAGAACCATCCATAAGCTCATCTATTGGCTCTGCTGATATTTGCTAACTTGTGATTGGTCGTTTGTGCCCCTTGTGTAATTGACAGTTCTGCATTCCTGACATTGCATGAAAAAGCCTCTAGGCTGTAGTTTTATACATATTTTTTGTATACTTACTGTAAAGATCCCCCCCGGTACTCATGCCGGTTGTCCACCACCCCACCCCCTGCTCCTTAAGTCAAAAGTACATCCATGGTGACGGTTGAAGGGACTTTAAGCTTTATACCAGTCTTCAGTTTGTTGGTGAGAGCAATTTTTGCTCAGTGTTTCAAAAGTGCATTACTCTGGAAACAAAAGTGAGGCAAAAAGGAAGCACATTGGATCATCTTGTTTGTATTTTGAATTTGTTAAAAGCAGGCAACACTGTTCTCCACATCCTCATAAGAATTAAAGTCTGATTGTCGAGCATAAACGGAGGAACAAACATGACATTTGTTTATTTAAGTGTCTGTGGTCTTCTAGTGTCACAGAATAATGGACAGGACTGCCATCTCCTTTTGTGCCAGGGAGTAAATTTTACTCCTGCAGAAGTAGATTCTACATCCTAGTTTGTAGTTGGACGATGTTGTTGTGGCATGTTGGAAACTACATTTTTGCCTAGATTCAGAAGATCTGGACAAGAGTTGTTCCTAGTCACTGATGTGGTAGGGTTTGAAATGATGCAGTTAAACACAAGTCACGCGAAGCAGCTTTAATCTTGTTTTATTTTAAGAAATAATTCAAAATAGATATAAGCTAATGTAGTTATGAAGTATTTGTTTGAGGCTTGTACTGAACACTTTAAAATTGTTTACCTTTTTTCTAGTTGGGACAGAAGCAGAAGGAACTGGATCATCTACAGCAGCAAAACAACTTTTTAAAAGAACAACTGGAAGATGCACTGGGGAGAGAACAAAATGCCAGAGAAGGATACGTACTGCAGGTAATTTACACTGCACATATATTTATATGTATATACTATATGCACAAATGTAACTTTCAAGTTTAGGGTTAAACATTAGAAATTTGCTGCAGTTTTCTGGTCTAGCTTGTGGTCTCTGCGGTTTCTGCAAGATGATGTGAAGATGATGTTTTTGCTATGAGGTCTGCTGTTTGCTGCGGTTACTTTACCTTTTCGAGAGTTCTACTAACGGGTGTCGGGGCTTATTCTCTTAAACTGAAATGCATGCTTGTGTTAAGCATGAGTTTTCACTAACTTGTTTTAATGGAGTTTCACATCTCCTGGGAAAATAAACCGATCCGATCCGTTAGTTCTGAGGTAAGAACCTTGACCAGTAAGCCTTGTGCTGTGCTTTTTCTTTCTGTTTCTTTTCCACCTTGTTTTCTGCATGCTTTGACTAATGCTTGATGTGTTGTTTTACATAATATGATGAAATGATAGTCTTTAAGATTTTTTTATATATATTTTGATTTTGTTCATTTATTTATTTATTTTGTAAGGAGGTGATTCTTTAGAGCCTTTCTGTTTTCAAGTGACCATTGGAAAAAGCACAGTGGAAGCTTGGAGAAAAACAAACAACTCCAAAGCAAAGAGATTAGTAACAAGAAACCTCTTGTGTTTGTAGCCCTGGAGATGTGGCTCTCTGTAAATCGTAGGGAAATTGAAGTGATGTAATTAATGAAAATGTCTCATCAATCTTTTCAAGAGTGCAACACCTCCTCCCTCATCACCACACAGAGTGCCGTGGCAACACTTGCACAGGCTAAACCAAGACTTACAGGGTGAACTGGAATCCCAAAAGCGCAAGCAGGGCCTAGCTCAACAGCAAATCTGCACACTAAAGAGAAGCTACACCGAAGCTCAGGATGTCGTCGACCGCCATGAGGCCGACATTCAGGCTCTGCAGGCTAAACTTGCATCTGCTATGGCCGAAATCTTAGCTAGTGAACAAGCTGTGGTTCGAATGCGCAATGAGCTCAAGTTGGAGCAGAACCGTTCTAAAGAACAAGAGGAGGAATATGGACGCAATGAAGCCACCCTCAGAACACAACTAAAGGAAAGTGAAGACAGACTCCGTGAGGTAGAAGCCAGCCTTCTGGAAAGAAGCCAGGCTCTGAGGCACCTAGAGCATCAGCAGGCTCTGCAACGAGACCACATGAAGGAGATACAGAGGTTGCAGGAGAGACTGCAGGAGGTAACTGCTCGACTGAGTGCTACAGAAGAGGGTCAAGCACTGAAGGAAGAGCGCTTGAGATTTGAGCAGTGTAGTATACAAGAAAGTCATGAAAGGGAAAGGCAGAATCTGTGTAGAAGATTGGCTGAGGCTGAAGCCACACAAAAAGAAGTAGAAGATAGACTGTTGGAGGCTGAGCAACAGGTTGAAGCCTTGTTAAGAGGGAGAAGGGCCTCGGGTGGTAAAGAATTCAAAGAAGAAATGTTGAAGTTGCAAGAACAACTGGCCTATAAGACTGACATTATTGATACACTGAGGGAAAGTGTGCGAAGACTAGAGGACGAAAAAAAACATCTCACCTGTCGCTGTCAGGAGCTTCTCAATCAGATTGCAGAAGCAGACCGTGAGGTGAACAAGCTGCGTAATCGTCTCGAAACTGAAGAAGCTGATTACTGTACCCTGGAGCATTCATATGAGAGGGCTACTGAAGAATTTCAAAAGATGAGCCAGTTTCTTAAAGAAAAAGAAGAGGAGATCCAGCAAACTAAAGAGATGTATGAAAGGTTGATGAAGAGTAAGGAAGAGGACCTAAAAGAAGCTCTTGTCAAAATGACAGCACTTGGCAGCAGCTTGGAAGAAACTGAACTGAAGTTGCAAGCAAAAGAGGAGCTTTATTGTCAAATGAGTCAGAGTTTCATCAATAAAGCGGAGCCTTGCAAAGCTGAAAAAGATCTGCAAGCCAAGCTTGTGGTTGCAGAGGCCCGCATTGCAGAGTTAGAGCAGCACCTCAATGCCCTGCACCTGGACTATGTCGATCTTTGCATTGAAAGGGAGCTAATCCCAGACAAGGACAAAAAGGGAGAAGTTGATGCATCACCCCCATTATCATCAAATACAGAGCTCCCTTTAGATTGTAAGGATTCTCAAGCTAAGAGGACAAGGATACGTTTTTCAAGTATTCATTGCCAAAAATACAAAAGCCTTGAAGACATGGACAGTAGCCATTTGAGTTGTCCTTTAGACGTAGAGCAGAAAAGTCATGACAGTGTTGATCTGGACATCCAACAGACTAAAGAAAACATTTCCGATACCCCACTCCCACAAACCAGCGACCCAGAGAAGTTCATCGGTATTATACATGAACTAGAAACGAAACTGCTCACCACTGAAGAAAAGCTGAAAAATCTAACACAGAATTTAGATGTGCAACGACCAACCAAAACCGAAGACTCACCCTTTCATGATCCAAAAACATCAAAACAGAAGCCAGGCCCAGAAGAAGGGGTTAGTGGTGCAAGTGGGATAAAGAGTGATTCTTCTCTTAAGCATTACTCTAAGGCCCTGGTGTGTGTTGAAAACAGTCGCGAGAAAGTGAAAGCTATACTTAACAGCTGTCATGGTAGCACTGACTCACAGCTGCACTCGCTGTCAGAGATTGAGAATGATTTGTTCAATGCTTCACTGCACATCCAACAGGGCCAAAAGATGTTGGACGAGCAGTCCCCCGTAGTCCTTCGGAATCAAACTCTAGAGACTGTAGACAGGGATGCGCTGCTCCTCTTTGCCAAAACGTTGTCTTTTGAAGCAGTAATTTTGAACAAGATGGCCTTATTGATTCAGACCTCAAAGTCTGACCTCCATCAAGCTCTCTTTGACATATGGGAGGACTTGGACCACATTAAAAGGAGCGAAAAAGATTGTTTGGCCATAGTTTATGCTGACGTCTTAACCAGGAAGTTGATGTTGGAGAGTGCATTCTGGAAGGACCTGGAGAAAGCTGAGACGGATGTTGCTGTTTTCCAAAAGAGCAGAGTATCAGTCGATGTAGATGTCGACGCAACTGAAGTGTGTAACACCTTCCTCAAAGCAGAACTGGCTTACTCGATTCAAAATCTGAAACTTTTCTATGAAGAGAAATTTGAAATGCTGAAAAGCGAGCTGGCTGAAGCCTATAATAAGCTATCTGAACGGGAGATGGCACTGAAGGCAATTATTGATGCTTCGAAAAAGCCTGAGTTAAAAATGGTAATAAAAGAGGTGAAAAATTCCCTTGGCTTTGGTAAACAAAAGTTAGCCAACATTCACCCACCTGAACTGGCTCCATATATGGAGCAGATAGAGATAGAAGAAGCTAGAGGTTTGGCTGAGGAAATGGTTGACAGACACTTGGTGAGTGTCATGCCCTCATGTGGTGTTCAGTCTGTTGAGTCATTTCAAAATGCTTATGACAACCTGGCTAATGAGCTTCAGAGACAAGCAGCAATCCTACATAAGTATGCTCAAGAGATAGAAAGTAGTGGAAGTCATCCTGCTCTGTCCAACATGATCCATAGTGTGTTAGGACAGCAAACATCACATAATTTGACCAGCACCTCTCTCTGTATGCGTGAAGCCCTCATACAGGCTCAAGTGGCTTATGTGGCTTGCAGGTTACGAACCATGCATGAGCAAGAGTTGAGTTTGTGTAAACAGACGAGTCAAAACATGGAAGATCTTGTGAAGCAGCATGCCTTGAATGTCTCAGCTATCCAAGAAAAGTATGAAGCGTCTTTAAAACAAGAGCGGGAGAACTTCACCCAAACCATGATCTCACTGGAGAAGGAGAATCAGACACTGAAGAGTGAGATCAGCGAACGTGTGAATCAGCTCTCCCAGCAGCAAGAGAAAGTAGCCCTCCTAGAAGAGCATTTTCAGAAGGAGACACAGGAGCTGAAACTGAGGTACAAACATGAGCTTAGCCAAGCAGAGCAAAGTCACGCCTCAACAGAGCTGGCCCTGATGGAGACTGCAGCTGATGGTCAACGAAAGCTTGAGCTTCTACTGGTGGACATTGACGGCATGGAGGAGAGTCACAAGAGTCACATTCAAAAGTTGCAGCAGCAGTTTGAAGAGAGGATCTGTGAGCTCCAGCAAATCCACAAAGAGGAGGTGGACAAATTACATTCCCAGTGTTTGGAACGCCTTCAGTGTGCCACAGAAAGACCTGGGGCCTTCTACCCACTTCCTTGTGTAGAGGTCTCAATGGAAGAGGACAAGCAGAGAAAGGGGGTGAATCCACAAAACACATCAGAGGTGGACTCCATGGTGGTTCTGAAGGATCGCATCCAGGAGCTGGAGACTCAGATGAATAGCATGAAGGATGAGTTGGAGAACAAGCACCTTGAAGGAGATGTGGCCAGCCTGAGGGAGAAATACCAGAGAGACTTTGAAAGTCTTAAGGTTCTTGTTCTTTCATTACATCTTAGTGAATTAAACAGGAGTAGTCATTATTTAGTGAGATTTAACAAAAAAGTATTTTTTATTACTTTGCATCTGGGAAAGGGTGTGTTAATGTTTTTCAGATGTTTTTAAATGCAAAGCCTGATTATTTTGCTTTACTAATACTAAAATGTAAGACATTGGCATTTCCTTGATAAATATAAGGAATGGACATTTTAGTTTCATGTAGGTTGGTATTAACATCAATATTTTACTTCAGGGTAAAATAAGTGAAATTTTACTGGTTTTATTTCCAATCCCGATTTGAAAGACAATAAATCCCACCCTTTTCCCACTCATTTACTGAGTAAAATAGTTTTTCTGTAAAAAAAAAAAAAATTAAAACTGGCTTTCTGCTTTGACCTGCTTTACTAACTTAGTGTGCTTTAGAACATCAAGAGAACTATCCCGGCTTTTGTCACTGATTCCTGCATGCACCCTAGTAAAACTTTAATAGATTTAACTCTAATTTAGTCACAAGTAAATACTACTGTAGATGTAAATAAATGTGTTGATAAACTGCTACCCTCCAGGCGACTTGTGAGCGTGGCTTTGCTGCAATGGAAGAAACGCATCAGAAGGTCATAGATGACATCCAGAGGCAGCATCAAAGGGAAATCTCCAAACTCATGGAGGAGCGGGAGAGACTCTTGGCGGAGGAGACTGCTGCCACAATTGCTGGTAAAGAAACTGTCACACTCGATGTGTTTAGTCAGTCATAAATTACCCCGTCACTGAAATGGAGTGGTGTTTTTATTGTAGCTATTGAAGCGATGAAGAATGCACACAAGGAGGAGCTGGAGAAGACTCAGCGCTCCCAACTGAGCGGGCTAAACTCAGACATTGATGAACTTCGCTTACAATACGAGTACGTTTTGATTCTTAAGGGGCTATTGATGGGCCTTTTGGGGTGTGTTTGTGTAAAAGGGTCGGTTTAAAGTTAAAACTGGGAGCCTTTATCCTAGTTTACATGTCTGTTAGAAAACCAAATTACTGAATGAAGTGCTTTCCACTCCACTAAGGTAGGTGGCAATATGGTGCATTGTAGTTCTCCTCGAAACTCGTTTATCCAAGATAATTTATCCCGAAATTATGCCATGAACTTGGAATTCCGAGCTGCGAGCTCGTAGGTTTTAGAGGACCCCAAGATCCCAAATTTAAAGATGGCTGCGCCCAGTGTTACCAGGAAGTAGTTATCGTCTTTATTATTTTCTCATTAATATGTTCTGTTTTCTTTCTTTTTGCTATTTAACAGCACCAGTAAGTTGTTTATTGTTGTTATCAATAGCTATGTTGTTGAAAAATTTAACATTGTTGCCAAAATTAGCCGGTGTTTATGGTTTTTACTTTTCCTGGTGTTTATATTTTTACATTTGATTTGTAATGTTTTTCTGGTTGTGTGTGGCAACTGTCTAAGGACGTGTGTGTCACTATTATAGGGAGCCTAAAGCTGGGCGTACACCGTGCGACTTTTTCACTCCTAGCACTCAGCTTCAGCTCAAACTGTACGACTTCCTCGCAGGGCGGATCTCACGAGTCATGTGCTCACACTGCACGACCCAGTTCTCGGATGCGACCTGACTGCTCACACTGTACGTCTGGTATCAACACGTCGGACCTAAAAATTTGCTAAAAATAGCAGTTTTTACTCAACACGTCAGACTTTTTTGTCTTGTTTTGCCTGTTGTCCTTCGGGAGTGCTGCAGGAGGACACACAGGGATTTATGGGGGTTGGATGAGGAAAACTAAATAAAGAAAGTAAATCTGTGTTTTGTGATCAATTTAATTTGACATGAACACGACAAACACACTTTCTTGACAATCTTTGTGAGCAAAAAAAACGTGTAGAAATTAAAACTAACAACGTGTGTTATTAGGGAAATAGCGGGCGAGCGGTGTTGATGCATGATTGCACATGTTCCGTGAGCGGTTCTGGTACTTTTGGGTCGCAGCTTTTCGCAGCCCCACTTCAACAGTGCAATACCCTCACGAGGGACGAGCAAAATATTAAACACGCCAGAAGTCCGTGCGAGCTCACGATTGCTGATCGGTAGCTGGTCACGTGGTGTTAATCGCCTCTCGTAACCCCCTGTACACTACACGACGCTCGGTGCAAAACTCGCCCCGATCTCGTGGATTCTCGCACGGGTGGAAAATCGGCTCAAAAAAGTGAAAAAGTCGCACAGTGTACGCCCGGCTTGAGTCTCCTCCCTTTCCGGTCGGCTCACGGGCCCCCCGGAAGAACCTAAAAATAAATGCAAGTCAATGGGACTGAAAACGCTATCTTCTAATCTGCTTTGCCGTACACCCTGGATCACACACATGTTGTACTGCAATTTAAATGAAAAGTAATGATGGGTGTTTCAACTACGCCAGTCACGTACTTTGAGATTTATCAGCTTGTAAAAGTTTGTAACTAGCATGACTACAAACTCGAAATCGGCATGTCGCATATGTGACATCACCACATGATCTCCTCTCCGCTAACGTAGCTGCTACTTACCAAATGACCAGATTCATGGTGGTTCTTTCCTCCTGTGGGAAGTTTGCTGAACTTACAGCCATTTTCCTCGGTTTTCTTTGTGTCTGGTTTGATGACGTCACTTTTGTGAAGCGCATTTGTAGTCCTGTACTTATTTTCACACAAGACCTAAAATAGCATTTCCCCCTGTTTGAAAATAAGCGCGTTCTTGGTATCAAAATGTGAATTTCAAATTCACGGACATGGTATGTGAAATTCACGGCACAAAATTGACTTGCATTCAGATTTTCATTCTTCCAGGGACCCATGGTCCGGACGTAGATGGGCGTGACTCAGGCTCCTTATTTAGATGCGTAGGCTCAACAACACTGGGGACATCCAAGTTGGAAGCTGGAACGCAAAATGAGCCCATTACGTCATTTCCTGCTTGGAAATTCCGAGTTCAGAGGACAACTGGAACGCACGAATACACCCCTTCATGTTGGGATTTTTTGAAAAGGGGGAAAATAATTGCATGTTAGAAATAATTACAAGAGACCTAAAGTTGATGGTAAGCTATCCATTCTGCTTAGAGAGGAGCTACAGTCCATCCAGAGAGAACTGGAGGTGTTGTCAGAGCAGTACTCTCAGAAATGCTTGGAGAATGCTCACCTGACTCAGGCGCTGGAGGCAGAGAGGCAAGCCCTCAGGCAGTGTCAGAGAGAGAACCAGGAGCTGAATGCACACAACCAGGTCAGAGCCCACATCCCTCCAGCCTTCACATGTCCTAGTCTACAGGCACGCACACACACACTCAGCTATAACCTGTATCTTTCGGTCCATCAGGAGTTAAACAACAGGCTGACTGCAGAAATCACTCGGATGCGTTCCTGTTTCAGCGGTGAAACGGCTCTGTCACCACTTACCCACGGCAAGGACGTGTATGAATTGGAGGTATGTGTAAACGTTTATGCATTCACTAAAACATACGGTTTTGTGTTTTAATTTAAGCTTTTCTCCTCATTTTACAGGTGCTGCTACGAATTAAAGAGTCAGAGATTCAGTATCTTAAACAGGAAATCCACTCTTTGAAAGATGAGCTGCAGTCTGCTTTCAGGGTAATGTTTTTAAAGGTGTGTGGTATTACTGATTTAAACTGTAACTTCACTCTGACCAACCATCTAACCAGGACAAGAAGTATGCTACAGACAAATACAAGGACATCTACACTGAGCTGAGCATTGTGAAAGCTAAGGCTGACTGTGATATCAGCAAACTGAAGGAAAAGCTGCTCCTGGCTACAGAAGCTTTAGGGGAGAGGACCGTTGATGACTCTGTTACATCTGGATATGGTGAGTAAAGCAGTTTATGACTCTGTTTAAAATAAAGAAATTACTTTTTCATGTACGGCTAAATGGTTTTCTAGTAATTGTGCATAAAGGATTTGATGCTGTTATTCTACATATGATTATTGATGCTGATGGCTTGTGTTGTTTAGACATCATGAAATCAAAAAGTAATCCGGATTTCATGAAAAAAGAGAAATCATCCACCTCCAGGCAGTCTAGAGCAGTGAGGTCAAAGGTGAGTGTCACATGGTGATTGAGTAGAAATGTCTGTGTTGTTTTCACTGTGCCACCACATTGTGTAGATGTTTTTACCGTGAAGACTCTTTGTGCCATAAGTCTGTCTGTTCTGTCCATCAGTCTGTCGTTGAACAGGTCTCATGGGATAGCTGACACTCTCAACCCCCACCCTCAGATGTGCTGTAGGTATAGCATGTAGACTAAAGCATGCCCTACTTGAGTTGTCCCCTCCCTCTCTGATCTCCCCCCACCCCACCCCACCCCCCACCCACACACACACACACACACACGTGTATTTATATGTTTTTGTGGACCTCCATTGACTTCCATTCATTTTAATGGCTCCACTATGCCTAACCCATAGCCTAACCTTAACCATTGGGGTTCTATTCTTAACCCTAAGCTAAATTAAAGCTAATTCACACCATACCTCTAAAACCACGTTGTAGGGTGCTTAGCATTGTGTGGACCAGCAGAATGTCCACACGTTACAGGTTAAAAGGCAGAATTTGTCCACCTAAACATATAAAGACAAGTAGGCCATGCACAACCACTTATTGAATATAAAACGTTTGTGGTCAGAAATATATCATGCAGCCAACCAACTTCCTGTTATCTCTGTTCAACTGGAACACAAACATATAGATGAACAGTGTTTATTTCAGGTGTTTTTGTTTTATTTTTTTATTATATACTCCACTTTAGCTGTACATATTTTATTTTCACCTGTATAAGCCTGACCGACAGAAATAAACCAATACGTTGATGGTAAGAAGAAAGTCGATCCTCCTTCAGTTTTAGAGTTGAGGGTAAAAGTAGTTTGGTCTTTTCTAGTTCTAAAAGGATTCGGATCTAACCTCAAGACAACACAAACCCATTCCCACCATGTCATTGTTTAAGAAATAAAAATCCAAAATGGAAAAGCTGTGTGTGAATCCACTAGGACCTCTTTTTACTTGGAGACATTAGTTTATACACAGCACATTAAGGTCTGAACTCTGACAGGACCATTGCAACTTCCTGGTTCTTTTCGTTTTCAGACATTCCGTGGTAGACCTGCCGTTGTGCTGCTGCAGCAGCAACAGGTGATCCTCTTGGATCCTAGCACTCTTTATCCTGTGTCTCCTTGTGTTGAGCACACACCATCAAACTGCCACATTTCCTCTTCTACAGGGGTGGTGATGATCAGATCATTGAGTGTGTCAGATCTGCAGCACCTGGCTGATGCTGAAGTCCTTTAGAAGCAGCAAGGCTCGACTTGGTTTTCCACACACAAGTTTCAATTTAGTGTTTGGTGGGGTTATCTTTTGCGCACTTGAAGTGTTTTAATGCCTCAAGTCTATAATGTAAAGAGTTTGCTTTCTTCTTACCATCACAGCACAGCGTAAATGATTGTTTCGTCTGTACTTGGTTTTCTTGGGCATTGCTTTCTCTTAATTCATCCCTCATTTCTTTCACAGAGCTTGAAAGAGGGACTAACTGTGCAGGAGCGCATGAAGCTTTTTGAGGCTAAAGACTCCAGAAAAATTTAAATATCAGTGACTGACAAGCTGACATGTTGAAGCTTTTTACAAGAACTAAACAAGAGAAACCCATCAAGTCCAGACCTGGACCCACTGATCCCATTCCTCCGATAAGTTGTCGTCATGGCATTTGACCCATTGAACTGGCAAAGCCTGTCTTTTATTTCCTACTCTACGTTGCAGTATAACTTTGAGAAGTTGGAGAAGTGTCGAAAGGAGCTGTGAGAGGGATGTTTAACAACAGCTATTATTTTGAGCCAAAACTCACAGCAATACATGTTATGATTAATATATATTTCCCAATATGAGTTAGGTGTCTGCTGTATTTTATTATTGTTACTGTGTTTATATTTAGTGGTTTTTATTGTCTATGTTGCACCCGTTGAGTTGTACATAACTACTGGACCTGTAGAGTTTGCTAGTGGTTGTTGAGGCGTCTGCTGTACTATAACAATGGTTTGAGTGAAGGTGGAAAACAATGTGATCATGTTTGTGTCTGCCAGTTTTCCAGAGGAGTGTGTTTGTGTGTGAGGGGGGTCAAACTGGGTGGGAAGGGGTGAGATTGCACGTACACCTTGACTACTTGAGAAAGCTCGTTTTTACTTATCTAAATTTGGCGTAATGACTTCAAACCAATAAACGCAGTGCACCAAACATCCTGGCTTAGTAATAATCAGTGAACAGCAGTTTCTTCTTTGTGATACTAAATATTTTTCCCCTTTTTTAATGCTGGTTACATATTGGCTCACTTTTGACTTTGTAAGGAAATTATTTTAGCAAAACTAATTACAGCCTTGCATGACTGTACAGCTTAATTTAAACTACAGAATGATCTCATTGTCTTGTTATTTTATGCTTTAGTGTGGAACTTTTAACATTATTAAGCTTTGCTTTGCGGATCCTACTGTGTAGATGTTTAAGATTGAAACGTTTTACTGTAAGAAGCAGTCGGGAAGCACTTAGCCCAGTCCCTCGAATCTCATCTCTAATCTACATGTGCCTCAACTGAGTGAATAGAAACATCCATGAAACCTGTGCAGCTATAGAAACACACTGTATAGTATTCAACTCACGCCTTGTATATATGAACATGCCACATGGACGACTCCTGTGTTTGTTTTACACTTGTACCTTGCTCAGTTGCTCTACATGAAATATATATAAATGAATATTTTTTATTTCCTTTTGAATGTATAACGTCAAATAAATGAAGTGTTTTAAATTGTGTCATTTATTCCAAGAGAGCCTTGTAAAATCATGGTGTCTATTAGAAAAAAAAATACTTAAGTGTTTGGGTTAAATTTGTGTATAACTTTAAAGTTAACTGTATTTGGTTCAAAGTATTAATGTTACATTGACAATATAAGCTTATTTATGTAAATTCAGACTGAACACTACATTTTTATTGGATATGTTTTGATTGTTGGCATCATGAAAGCCATAAAAACATGTTTGTATTTGAGGCAGTAATGTTGTAAAACAAAAATAGGGTAAATATGTTATAGTATAACTTTTAAACTAAATACTATTTTTTTTGTTCAATACATGCTTCAATTAGTCTTGCAAGCCTTCCAATATAGGCGTAATCAATTAATCTAATATACAAGTTTCACTTTTTGAATAGAATTACTGAAATAAATCAAACTAGTCATGATATTCTAATTGTATGACCAGCACCTGTATATTATATCAATTCATTACTCAGACTAATATAATTCAAAAGTTTAGGATTATTATAACTGACAACTAATGAAAGTCCCAAATTCAGTATCTCAGAATATCAAGATCAATGAAAAATGGATTTTTAGATATGTTGGCCAACTGAAAAGTATGAGCATGGACAGCGCTCAGAATTTAGTCAGGGCTCCTTTAGCCTGGATTACTGCAGCAATGTGGCGTGGCATGGAGTCCCATCAGTCTGTGGCACTGCTCCAGTGTTATGAGAGTGGCCTTCAGCTCTTCTGAATGGCTGGGTCTGGTGTATTGCATCTCCCTCGTCATAATATCCCATAGATTCTCAATGCGGTTAAGGTCAGGCCAGTTTACTGGCCAATAAAGAACAGGGGTCCTTTAACCATGTACTGGTAGCTGCACTAGAATAAAAGCAATACAATAGATCACACAGTAGGTCATTAAAAAAACGAGTGTTATACAAGTTTAACTTTTTCAATGGAATTACTGAAATAAATCAACTGTCATGTTGTAATTGTATGACCAGCACCTGTAGTCCTCCGGTCCAAGAGGCATTCTGATCAAATCCCTGAACAAGTGGAATTATTTTGGCCACCTGCATTTGTTAACTTATTCTTTAAGGCATTTCCCAGCTAATGACCACAGGGAAAGATTGTGGTGTAGCTGGATCAGTAAATCCTTTGGCTCAGGAATGGTTTGGGATCCCACAAGAGTCACTGGAGAGAGTCGCTGGGTCTTTCATTTAACCTATAGGAGCTAAAGTCATGGTGGTTGATGGCTGATGAACAGAAAATGGGCAGAACACATCAGATTTAGTCCACAAGAGGGAGCCATCAGCCTAGCTTCTTGACTCAGGTGGACAGTCCGTAAACAGCTGTTTCTGTAGTATGAGGCAGTCTTTTATACAGCTAATGATGAATTTGTTGTCCACTTCAGAAGGGAAATAAAAACATGGGGTCAAATCATTGTGCCACTTTTTCTCCATAAAGTTCTTGCTTGTTACTGGGGATCACAATGTCTCCAAACTGCCAGGCTGAATGATTTACCAATCGAATGACATTAAATTAAACTGAACCTAGTCAAACGAGGAGATGCAGAAAGGGGTGGTCCCAGTGACCACACTGGGTGCAGACAGATGTGGTTAAGAGCTTATGTCTGAGGTGGGTCATGATGATGAACAACGGACCAGGATGCTGATAGGTTTAGGGCTGTGTGATGAAACACTGTAGATGATGAAATTAAAACATCTATTGCTTCATGTTATACCTTCTTTATTTCATGGTGTCATCAAAACACATTTTTCATGGTAATACTGTTTCAACAATAGTCACCACCATGGCACAATGTGGATTCAGGTACAGAGCAGGCAAGAGATAAGTTACACATGTCAATGTAAATCTGTGTGTCTCCGAACGGAAGGACCAAAACAAACACAATGCTTGTTCCTGTGTTTGAATTTATGATGATGATAAAACAAGAGAGGGGAGGGGCTGGGGAAAGGTCTCCTGCAGGCATCCAGCATCCAACACCTTTAACATAAAACTACATCTGTGATTTGGGAGGACAGCGTTTCGATAGAGTTTGACCAGAACTTTGACGACCAATGTTAGCCTCACTTCAGCTAAGTCTTCCACATGAAAATGCACCAGAATATGTTGAAAATGCTGCATGTATTATTATCAGAATGGAAAAGACTTTTATATGGATCTGAGACTTTTGTCATAATTACGCAACCCCACAAGAGATGTTGAATAGGTTGGAGGCATGTCCAGTCCAGCAAGGTCTTCAGGGCAGGTGGTGAGTTCACTTGGACACCTGGTGGGACGGTATTCTCCTGAGCCCAGTCAAGAGCTTGATGGCCGCTGGTAAAACACTAGTAAAGTGTCTATCAATACTAATCTTTCTTAAACCATTAGCATTCAGATAATTCAGCTGCACAGAATGTTAAAGGGGAACTGGGTAGTTTTGGCTTGCTTTTAGCACCCCCTAGTGTCCGCTTGTAGAACCAAAAGCCAAATCTATCTCCTTGCTGTGTGTTTGTCTTTTTAACATCTTAATCTAACAGCTGAAATGTCTCCCCATCCTTCATTAGTGTCTACAGGAGTGGTTCATCACTAGATGATACAAATCACCTGTGCTCACGATCTAAAACATGCAGGAAATGTGCTGGAAGCAGACTGCAGCGCCAGGTATGTCAGCAAAGGAGCAGCCAGTCTGAAATTGCATGTGGAATATTCTGGCCACGGGGCGATAGGGGCTGGTTGGCCTTTCATTAACCCTGTAAAGGGTCATTTTACCACATACTGACTCAAGAAGATGAATCAATATGAAAAAGATGCAAAGTATGGCTCTAGACTTTGGTACCATCCAGCCAAGGCTGTGAGGGAAATAAATGGTAAAATGACCAAATGTTTATTTGCCCTCTTCAGTTTGATCCTCCTCCTGCTGGCCCTGGCAGCTGACCTTTGCTGCTGAGTAGGATGGCGGTGAAGAGGCCTGAGGATCCAGCGAGTCTGGGGCTGACGGGTAGTCCTGTGTCTGGTCTACGTGGGCCTCCGCCCTGAGGTCCTGACCTTTACAGCAGAGTGTTTTGGGTACAGGAGAGGAGGAACAGGTAACTTCACTGATGGCAGATTGGCTTTAGGAGGTGCTTCACCTTTATCACGGCCACAGTGCATTGTGGGGTGGATAGGTGCTGCCACTTTCTCTCTTTTCTGAGGGAGACACATTTACAGAGAAGCGTTTATGACTCGGCATATGTTTATAGTTTTATGTGAAAACATTTGTAAATTATTCTCGTACTTGATTTAATGCAGTTCTGCTGATATTTCTGTATTTTCTTGACACTTTTCTGCTTTGTGTTCATGATCTTAAAGCAGGTTTTCCTCCACTTTCACAAAAGAATCTCACTCTTGGTCTTCACACGATGTATTATATACACTTTATTTCATTAAATAAACTCAAGCAGCCAAACATGACATTATACACATGTATGCACATATAAACATGACCTTTTAAAGCATTTTCTCATTATTTACATTTGTTATATTAACAGCATTTACAGACCAGCTACAGGATTGTCTGTTTTTTTGTTAACTCAGATGTTTAAATAATTTAAAAATAAGTTAATGATTTTTATCATTTTAAAGAAGAACTCAATGCAACAATCAATGGTTTTAGTAAGTTGGAAAAAAAAAAGATCCTTCACTTCCTGTTTGTCTTATAAGGTGCATATGTTTTAGTGAAGATGCACCGAGACCCGTCTTGTGGTGAAATCATGCCAACAACAATAATTTTATATGTTAGAGTCTGAAATTTAGCTATCTTGAGCAGTTAGAGGACTTGTTGGACACTGGGTGTCCAGGCGTTGTGAGGATGGCGGTCTCTTTGGAGGTTTGACGGACGGCGAGATGTCAGCAAATACCACGGATCTTCCATCAGGACAAAGTAGGACACTGGAATCGGCCTCACACTTGGTGGTTCTGCTCGGCCACAAGGCCTCAGCCGACCTCAGGCTGAGACCTCCAGGGGGGAGTATCTCTGTGTTTACTACCGACGCTTGGCTCATCTTGATCAACATGTCCAATGACTGCTTACGGCTCTCCAGCGATGCCCTCAACATCTTCCGCTCCCTCTCTTCGTCCTCCTCCTCGTTTTTGTCCTCCATGTCCTCGTCCTCTTCGGTCTCAATTGCAATAGTTTTGGGGTTGCTGTCCTCTCTTGTGCTTTGCTTACCAATTGAGTCAGTTGAGTCCCTTCTAACTGACAGATCGAGGGGTCCGTCAGCCTGAATAGATGTCCGCTCCAACGCCTGGTGAATATGAGAGAGCTCACTGCGGATTTTGTTCAGGTGCTCCCACAAGTGTCTCTGGACAGGAAGGTCCTCCTTCTCCAGGTGGGAGATTTTGCGTTCAGCCTCCTGGTACTCTTGCAGAGCCTTGGAGAGATCACTGAGGAGAGCAGCCACCGACTCAGAAACTTCTTCTTCAATTATGCTGGTAGCGTTCGGGTCCTGAGTGTTGCTAGCAGACAGGGAGGATGTCTCGTTGTTGGGACTGGTGAGAGAATGGTACCACAGCTCACTCGGTCGGGTCTGAAGCTGAGCAGCCTGTAAACTACAACAGACGATGTGTTAAAGACAGAACAACACACTGTTTAGTCTAGATATAATGTTTACACCCATCACACATCAACACAAAATAAGATCTCTACCTGTTTTGATGGAGGCGTTTGTCAGTCGATCCGTTCTGGTTATTTTTCAGGAGGTCAAATGTGAGGCCCACGGCCGACTTCTTCTCCACTGGTGCCTCGTGACTCCTCAGAACAGCTCGTGTCCTCTTTAGACCACAGCTGGCTTGGCCTTCTTTGGCCGTGGATTGAGTTTTTTCTGCCAATCTGTAGTTCTGGTCGAGGGAGTCCCTCTGAGGGGACGCCCAGCCACCGGGGGATGCAGTGTTTCCTGGTCGCAGGGCTGGCACCTTCCACAGGCTGACTTTAGGTTGAAAGCCAGACAGAGGAACTGCCTCTAAACTGTTTGTCTTGGGAGATTTCCTGGCATCACTCTGACTCGAAGCCGGCCCAAACGTGTGCTCACACAAGAAGGGATAGTAGAGGTGCGAGGGGATGAGAGCTCTGTCCGAGTGTGTGCTGGAGACTGGATGCATCAGCTGGGCAGCCGACGCCAGGAAGGGAAGCTGAGCAAACTGTGCGTGGGTCTGAGCGGTGACACCGGAGGCTGCTGTGGGAATGGCGGAGTTCATGTAAGAAAACAAGCTCGGACTGATGGGATAACCCACCCCCAGTACCGATAGGTTGAGTCCGGTGGGATCCTGGTAGTCCAGCAGGTTAGGGGGGGGAGGGTAACAGGGTATTGAACCGCTCACTCGAGGCTGAGCACCTTCTGCTTTGGCCTTCGTGTGGCTGGATGCCAGTAGTCTCCAGCGCTCGGACAGAAGCCCAGGACCTGTCACACATGTCTTGGGTAGCTTATAGTGTCTCAATTGGGCTTCTACCTCCACAGAGCGTGCTTGTAGCAGCTGATCTTCAAGAGAGAGCATGTCGGCCATCAGGAGCTCTGACTCGGCCTGGTCGCTTTTCTTAGCATCTGCTCTGCTGCTGCTGGAGCTTTCTTTGGTCAGCCCTGTGATTTCTGCTTGCTCCTTTGGTTCTCTCTCTTCCCCAGCTTCAGCTCCTTGCATTTCCCCAACCTCGCCGTTCTCCAGAGACCTGCGCTGCCCCTGCTTTTCCTCAGAGCGCATCGCCTGCTCCAGCTCATCTGCCCCGGCAGAGTGCAGGCCGTGCGCCTGTTGAAAGGGTCGCAGCTGTTCCGGGTGCAGGATGTTACCCTTCTTGTACGGCCAGTCGGACTCTATGAGCAGGGACAGGGAGTTCTTGCAGAGGCTGTACTTCATGTGGTTGTACAGGTGGGACTTCTCCATGCAGGTGAAGGGGCACTGGAAGCACTTGTAGTTGTAGGGTTTGCCCCATGGTCGGGGGATGTAGTGAGGCTTCTTGGGCTTCCGTTCCTTGTGTTTGCTGGCTGATGTAACTTTGCAAACATCATCCTTGGACATGACTAAGGCTTCACTCTGGAGGACTATACTATTGTGACGATTGCTCAAGCTAATCTTGTAAAGTTACTGTTAGGTTTATTTCATTTGATGCATAACATTTGCATCCTCTTGATGGATTTCCAGCTGCGCCTGTGAAACAAAGGAACATTGAAGTAAAGATTTGAAGTCTTTACGTACATTTTAGCTCTTGCATCTCTGTTTAACATCTAGGAGATAAAGTTGTGAGTGTCTGCTTGAGTCGAGCGCTGCCACTGACCTAACTGCAGGGAGGCCTGGGCCGCCCTGCATGCCTGTACCTGCCACTACTCATTAGTTCCAATGCAGCACCAGACGATTTCAGGGCCCCGGGCAGGGGGGGGGGGGGGGTGCAGGGGGGGGGCAGGCTGTCACAGGGGACCCAGCACCTGTGCAGCACTGAGTTTAGGGTATGGATCCTTGGAGGGCAGCTACAGGCACAGTGCACCCATCCTGTGGAATATGGATAAGGGAGACGTTGGGGGTTTGAGGCCTGATTCCTAATGAGAGCCTGGCATTGTGCCTATAGGGCGTCATTAGTGCCAGGACTGGGATCTGGGTCAGGACACGGTGCATAAGTTCAAGCGCAGCCTCTTGTTCGACTACTTCTTCATTTAGATTTGGGTCGTCGCAGATAAGAGCTGAAGAGGATGACGGCTGATGTTCAGAACGCAGATAAAAGATTCATTTAGAGGGATTACATCATTTGGCTGGGCAATCAATCAATCAGTAAACAAATACAAATACAAATAAATGTGTGTTTGTCTAATTGTCTTTTAAAATAAGAGTAATTTCACAATTTTCTTACTTTTTTTCTTTAAAATATATTTTTCGCCACAACAATCTCTTTTAATTTTAGTTTATTTTTCTAACATCTTGCATGCTTCATTTAGAATTCTTTGGCTAACACTTTCAGTTTTTCTCTCATCTTATTTTTATCCTCTCCGGCTCTTTTGTTGATTATATAAAAGTACTTTAGTTCACATCCATCTGCTAAAATACTTTCTGATCTTTTTATTCTCAGAGCCACGCCGCCGGCTGAAGCCTGCAGAGGAGCGAGGAGGAGTTTAAAAGCTTTCAGGCTTTGATTTAGCCTGCTCCCTCCGGTCGTCAAAGATGACAGTGTGGGAGAAGTTTAGGGTCTAAGGTAAATAAAAAAACTTTTTCGGCTCTTGTTTTTTTGTCTCATGACGGCTCTGTTTGACAAAGTTTTGAAATGAGGGTCAGTGAAGCGAGTGCAGGTGATGGATGAGCAGTTAACCTGAGAGACAGAACCATCCATAAACCCAGGTTTGTGATAGAAGACTTGGTGACTCTGACACAGGATGGCACGCTGTCCCCAGCTCTCTCAGTTGGACCCTCAGAACTGACCCGTCAGTGATCGACCGTTTGATTGGCTCACTTGTGCGCCTCGGGGCTCTGACCTGAGCTTTGAGCTCATAATAGGGTCTAACAGCTGCAGCTACGAGACAATCAATAAAAATCATTTTTACAGAGCTCCCCCCACCCCCATCCCCGCCCAACCGCACCGTTTCCAAACCCTGCGGTCTTGTTTTAAGCTTTTAGGGTTGCTGATCAAACAAGCCTGAGCGCTTGAACATGTATTGTTGCAATTAAGAAGGTTCACCACACTAAAAGCTCTGACATGCTGCAAGACCACAGCGCTCAGATCCTACAGGATGGGCTGTTCCTACTATTGATGAACACACAGGACTACAAAGGGAGTCCGTTTACACTCAGATCAGACTATAAATCAGATACTTTACCACAGACGTTGGCAGGATTTAACGTGTTGGCCTTTTGAGAAGAAACTTTCTGGAAAAGAACAATGATTTAAATTTTTATTCTGATATTTAGATTCTTCCAAGAAAAAGAAAAACAGATTAATACTGAAACTGACATTTATTAGCATTTAGTAATAATGCAGAAAAAGTGATCAAAGATAGAAACTTCTTGAGATTAAAAAGCCCTTTTCATGGTAAATAAGGTCATATTTAGCATGTATTTGATGTGAAATTTGACAAACTTCACATCAATTTTCAAAAGCACTTATTGCAGATTAAAACATACAAAAGGCCATTTTTGTTGACCTGACACACGAATCTTTACAAGCTTAATCAGCAGCAGATTAATATTAGGAATAGAAATGCATTGATTCATACCTCGAGAGCGTCCCGGTGAGGCTGTCTGTCACGTTTCTGCAGCAACAGCAGCAGGGCAGCGCGTCCCGCTCAAATGGGAGTGCAGGAGCGAGAGTTGAGATATATATTGACTGGGAGCACTGGCCTGAGGCGCTACAATAGAGCAGCTCCCCCCTCTTCCCCCAAACACCCCCACCACACACACACACACACACTTAGGTTTGTCAGATGTGCTTTTTACCTTTGCAACCAACAAAGCAGTGTACTGATGAGGTGATGGTTAGAGATGGTGTTTGTCTGGGTCGACGGCTGTAGTGTGAAGGATTAAAAATACATTTCATTGTATAAAAGGTAAAATGACAAATATTTAAAATGTTTAAACTTTTAAAAAGTATTACCTACGTGTGTTTGGATTGAATCTGTGCATGATGAGAAAAATGTGAAAACGTTTATTTTTGCATTTTTTTAAATTATTTAAGGCAACAAACGTTATCATTTAATATTTCAATAAAACAACAAATTCAGTAATAATAATAATAATAATAATAATAATAATAAAGATTTTCTTTTAGTTTTTCTTTACATTTTTCAAGTAATTTTGATGAATGTTTTAATACATTTTAAGGTTAACGTGCAGATTTTATTTTTTACCAGAATGTGAAGAATAACAGGTTTTGCCTAGATGTTTAATATAAATTATTTATAATCATTTAGGTAAAATGCTTACAACTGGATTTCCTGCTATCAAACTGAGTTAGTAATAATTTTAAAAATTCATAAATCTGCTGCACAACCTGATCATTTCACCTTGGATTAACGGTCCTCATCTTTGACCTTTGAACTTCTTGCACACTAAGAAATAAACATTCCATTTTATTTTAGCTGTTTTTGATCATCTTGGCATAACGGTTATAAAATACTACCAATAAAATGTTTCATACTGACCGTCTGCATTTTCTTTAAACAGCCTGTGAAGTTTCATGCTTTTAAAGCTAAAGTGCCTAAAAGATGCTTTAGAAGCAGCAGAGCTGCTGGTTTAAAGACGAACAAACAACACGGCAAATGCTACTTTTGTGTGAGTCATCAGAGAAGAAACGTGTCACCTTGCTCCACCTGCATCATGTAAGAAATCACTGACACTGACGACTTTTGTCTCTTTCAACAGCATCATTCTCTCCTCCTTCACCTGATCTCCTTTGTCTCGCTCCTCTTCCTCTCTCAACTTTAACCTCCCAGTCCTCCGTCCCTGATTCCTGGGTCAACTCCAGGTTCTCTCCGGTGGCTGGCTGGATGGGAGGCGGGCATGCGAGCCCCTTTGAGAAATCAGCCCGTGTCTGTGTGCGGGGAAAGTCGGGGGCCCTTCATGAACCATCGGGCCCGCTGTCACTCAGAGGCGGCCAAATGGAGACTGACAGGCCGCTCCATAGAGCCTAACCATCTGTACCAAATGTGACAGCAGGGCGAAGAGGATGTCTGGTAAATCAGGGGAAACGACAGGAGTGCACTGTGACATGAGGAGGAAGTACAGAAGCTGGAGAAACAGAGGAAGACTCTGTGCTTCTTCAAGCTCAGCCACATGATGGGTCGTGTCAGAGGGTTTTTTTTCCTGTAGAGGGAGAGAAGATGCTCTCCTACTGCAGCAAACACTCGGAGAAACGGTCCTTCTCCTGTTGTCTAAGAGCGTTAAGTGAGAAGTGACTTCTTCACCTCGTGTTCATAAAACCCTTCATTAAATCAGACTCTCTCCTGTAATAATATGTTTTAAACTTAAATTTAAGTCAAAATTAAATGATAATAATGATAATAAAGACTGCAGCCGTAAAAATAGATTTTATTGAATTTCAAAACGTTTTCTTTAAATTCCAGTTTTTGCCAGTCAGGGGCGGCGTTAGGCCCGGCTACTTGGGCTGAAGCCCCGGATGTTTCATGGAAAGCCCCGGATCTAAATCGCGGAAGTAACATGCAGTACCAAAGTCCAACAGAGAGGGAGCAGCTGGCAGTAGTTTGTATACAGCCTGCCTGAGCCTTCACCACTGAAGAAGAAGCCCTTCAGCAGCCGGCTTCTTCTACACTCTCTGCCTGAAACGCATGAGTGAATATGGACATAAGGATGTTTTTTAGACAAAAAGTACCGCGACAGAACCCCAGCTTTGATGAGACTGGTGTTGACTCAGGTTTGTGAGTCTTATTTGAAAATATTTGTTGTGCTGCTGGTTTGCCTAAAGTTAGCTTACTATCAGGTAAAGTTGTTGGAGAAAGAAAGGGAATATTTACTATCATCTCACACTAAACACTAACAGGAACAATACTCTGCCCTGAATATGCTGAATATGTAGCTTCAGATTAAAAATTATGTGGTACAAGACAAATATGATGTTGACTAGTGTGTGTCACGCGCGTTAAGCCCCGGATGTTCTTCAGTCCTTAATCCGCCCCTGTTGTCAACTTTAACAGTTTTGGAGTTTAATGCTTCTGAATTTCCTTCAACTTCTTCAGTATTTTTGCATTTTAAAGAGTTCAAGAAATGGATATTTTCTGAGTGTAGATGAACATCTATGTGATATCAGTGCATACACTACACTAACTTCCTTTATTATTTAGAATTAACAGAAGTTCACCCACCGCCTCCCAAAAATTTAAAGTTGTGCAACCCTTCCAGACTTCCTGTAAACTGCTCTGTTTCTCTCTCTCTCTCTCCGCGCGCACACACACACACACACACACACACACGCACGCACGCACGCACGCACGCACGCACGCACACACACACACACAGACTTGAACTGTGAACACAAAACTCTCCTGGCAAGTGGAGCATCCTTATGGAGCGTCATCTGGGGAGGCTGACAGGAGCACTCTATTATCACTCAGAGAAAGGAACCTGAGGGCTGCAACAACAGCGCTACCAGCAAGATCCAGCTGTGCATGTGCCTCCAAACAGACACATACATACACACAGACAAAAGAAGCCCATGCAAATGAGGAGAAACGCTCAGAACAAACTTGCTCCAACTAGTCGACTAAACGTGCAGTGTTGTCAGTAGAGACATATGCAGATGAACAGAATAGAGAGATGAATGACTGAAAGCGACCACAAACCCCGAATGGGTCGTCAGCTTTTATTCACTGCCTGAGTTTTAGGCCTGAGGAGGAATAGCTAACAGCTCCTCTCTTAGCCGGTGCTACTGGGCACATTAACTAAACTCATATCGCTCTCAGCCACTATCAATTATTCACCACCCTCCTCCTTCTTTCTCCTAGTTTTCAAAAAGAAGAACTCTTCACAGCAAACACACAGCCAGCGTGCTCACCAAACAACCTCATGCCTTTGGTGACTTCCTTTGGTTTTCTCTGGTGCCCTGTGGGTTTTAGCTTCAAGCATCATTAGCATTTTCTTCAACATGCTAATAACGCTCTTACATCACTGTTGCAATACAACACCTCCTCTCTAGTTTAAACTAGTTTTCAGAATGTGTGTGTGTGCGTGCGTGCGCGCGCGTGTGTGTGTGTGTGTGTGTGTGTGTGTGTGTGTGTGTGTGTGTGTGTGTGTGTGTGTGTGTGTGTGTGTGTGTGTGTGTGTGTGTGTGTGTGTGTGTGTGTGTGTGTGTGTGTGTGTGTGTGTGTGTGTTCCATTACTGGAACTTCCAGGTAATTTCACCAGAACCTCTCATCATGCGCGTGTCTCCATTTCACCAGACGGGACCAAAAGGACCATTCCAGCGTGTGAAAGGCCTGGTAGAGCTGTTGGGTGGGACTTGTGGTCAAGACGTGCTGATTGGTTGCAACTCAGTAGGAAGTGACATCAGCAGATGACGCCAAAACAATCGACTTTTGTAAAATTGGAGGAATTACTGGTGACTTTAAAATCACCGTTTCTGAACTCTCAACACCAAAAAATGCTGTGGCTACCCCCCATTACGCATTGATTTACACTACATCCATCATCTTACAAAGTACTGTGAATACAGTGCTCTCTTTATGGTCCTTGAACGCCTCTTTATGAATGTAAGCAAGTAAAGTTTAATTATATAGCACTCATCACAGCTGGAGTAATCACAAAATGTTTCACAAAGATAAAAAACAAAAGACAAATGAAAGATTATTTAAAACAGAAAACACAAAAGAGCAAAAGCAGTTTTAAAGAAAATGGTCTTTAGCTGCTTCTTAAAGGTATCCAGACCGTCAATAAGACGTGAGAATAACAGAAGTTCATTCTTGCACCGCCACTGTTCTCATCCTCAAGTGGATTAAATTACAGCGCACTTTAACAGGAGAATACTTTAATGTCATGAATGTCCGTGCTGATCTGTGACTGCTGAAACGCTCCTGATTTGCCGACGACTTAGCAAAATCTTAAAAGGGCTGAGAGGGCCGAGCCATCTTATTCTCTCCCTCACAGAAATTCCCAAGAACTCCTATGGTGGGAACACGGCTGAGAGTCGGCCCGACAACCAGAGGACAAAATAAAATGTTACCATTAGCTGTTGAGTCAGCTGTCTGTCCCTAAGCAGAACATCACAGAATGGGTTCATAAAAAGGAGACTTATCAGGAGATAAGTTTGACACCCTTAGCCCTAGAGATCACAGCTAATCGAAGTTAGCAAAAACAAAAACGGCCACAAGTCTGTTGATCTGACAGATAATCTGACAAAGATCAAATTAATTGCTGATTGTCATTCATGCTCATTCTGCAAGATTCTCTCAGGCTAACATCTGTTCTGAAAGGCCCTTCCAGTCATGATGCTGAAACTGGCCTCAGGACCACGACGGTCAGGTCTTGACTCATCCACCACATTTTTACTCTGGCTTGTGCTGTTCAGCGATGTGCTAGACGTGCTTCTGTTTTCACTGCAGCTGCATTCAAATGCAACCAGTTCCTTGGAGGACTTTGACCACCGAAATGGAGACAGGGCTCCCACCTGCACCTCCATGCACCGAGGCTGAGGAGAGAGAGAAAGGAGAGCTCTAAAGGAAAAACAACACTAGCTGATCTTTAGCATAAGCTACATTTACACCACCAGTCTGCATGTTTGTAATTTGGTTTAATAGTCTTTAGTCCTAATTCCATGCTGTCTTCCTTTTTTAAAACACAGAAACAGTTTTGTTACCTGTTTTTCCGCTACG